TTCCCTCAGTTAGCAGTTATAGGTTTTGATCTGTTCCTAATTATGGAAAAGAATCCTGGAATCAGCTCAGAGAGAAGGAACTTGAGTTTAGCATTACCATTTTTAAAGCACCAATGTTTACATGAATTTCCGAGTAGAGAATTAGATTTCCTCCGTTATTTTGCTTAAAAAAAAGAGAAAGACGGAAAAGTTATTTTGCCGGCACTGAAAGCCATACTGAAATTCAAGTGAATGGCCTACATAGCGCCATTTAGACATTCCCTATTCTCTACATTTTTACTGAATTTGTACAGTCTCTAAGTGTACATGCGTGTGTTTTAAGAGCTAACTACATCTAGAAAAGCAAAGGCTCTGAGGAAAATCAAACAATAAAGAAACATATAGCTCCCTTTGTTGAGAACATGACTGCATCAGCCTAGGAACACGCAGCTCAGCCCTCCACCCGGCGCACACCCGGATACAGTCCCAAGTGCAGAGAACCAGCGGCGTGTGAAGACACCGGGAACACACATGCTACAGGTCTAGTCACACTGTTTGCAAATACCAAAGAACAAAAAGACACATTTTCAATAGAACTTACCTGCTTTTTCAAGGGAAGCTTGACAAACTATATGGTAAGCACGCCATCGTTTATTTTCAGAAGTGCTCCTGAATGCAGCTTTCATAAGGGGATCTTATTCAAGTGAGTGATCCAGCTCAGGTAAAGAGTACCAAAAAATCAGGCAGAAAATGGACATCTCTGATTTTTCAAACTTAAAATCAGTACTTTTTAAAAATAAGTGCGGGGAAGAGATCCCTCTAGAAGGAAATGCTCTAAAACCATTTCAGTGACTTTCAGAGGGTGGAGCAACAGGGCATCGGGAGGAAAAAAACTAGAGCTCTGCACTGGCAACAGCACGGCTATCTCCAGCACAAAAGCCTGTTTATGTGCACGGAGCCCTCTTTCCAAATGGGAAAAACGTCAGCAGCATTAAGTCAAGATTTTCACTAAGAATCTCAAAAATATTAATTATTTTTCAGCTATAAGCAACGAAGTCGAAGTTCAATTGGACTCAGAATATCACGAGGTATCCCATTATGAAAACAATCTCAAAGTGAGTCAATAAATAATATTTACTGGAGCGCAAATCAAGTATTTTACAAAAGTATATGACCTACATTCGATAATGTTAGAAGATGTTACCAAATTGAAACTGTACTGACTGGAGCCTGGAGTTCAACCTCTTTGGGGTCAGACAAGTAACCTAAATCCCTGGTTGGCCCCCAAGATTCCCACTATGTTGGTATGTACACTCTGTATGATCTCCTCCCTTAGACCGTGGGAGAGCCTGATATAATCAGATGATCCCTTTCAAAAGAGGGTCGAGAAGTCAGAAGAAGTCACAGAAAGTTGAAGCTTCAGTAGGTTATGTCAATTTTTGGTCTAAAATTTTTATTTTCAAATGTTATAGAAATAGAATCATAGAGAATGCCAATTTCTATTTCTTCCCCCAATCAGCAAAATTTCCTTGGGATTTATCCAACTTGCATCAACAGTTTGTTTCTTTTTATTGCTGAGTATGTTAGCAAAATTTACTTAACCATTCACCTGCTGAATAATACTTGGCTTGTTTCCAGTTTGGAGCTATTATGAATGAAGTTGCTAAACATGCCATACAGGTGCTATAAATGTTATTGTACAGGTGTCTGTGTGAACATCAACTTTCAATTCTCTGGGATAAATGCCCAGCAATGCAATTGCTGGGTTGTATAGTAAGAGCAAGTTTAGTTTCATAAGAAAATGTCAAACTATTTTCCAGAGTGGCTGTACCATCTCACTTTCCTACCAGCAACGTACAACACGATCCAATTTCTCTGCAACCTCTCTAGCATTTGGTGTTACTACTATTTTCAATTTTAGTCATTTTGATAGGTGTACAGTGATATCTCATTGTGGTTTTAATATGCATTTCTTTAATAGCGTTTGATGCCAAACATCTTTTCACGTGGTTATTTGATGTATGTATATCCTCTTTGGTGAAATGCTTTTCCATGTCTTTTGCCCATTTTCTTAATGAATTACTTGCTTTTTAATGTTGAATTCTGAGAATTATTCTTATATCCCAGATAGAAGTGCTTTGTCAAAACTATGGTTTGCAAATATTTTCTCCCACTATGTAGCCTGTTTATTCATCCCCTTAACAGGGTCTTTCACAAAAGAAAACTTTTTTGTTTTGATGTAGTCCAATTTATCAATTTTTTCTTTTACTGGCCATGTTTTTGTTATGAAGTCTAAAAACCTTTGCCTAGCCTTAAGATGTAAAGATTTTCTATTTTTTCCTAAATGTTTTACATTAAATCTATAATCCACATTGAGTTAATTTTTATGTATGATGTGAGGTTTAGGTAAAGCTCATTTTTTTTTTTTTTGGACCTATGGATCTCCAAATGTTCCAGCACTATTTGTTGAAAATTGTCTTTGCACCTATGTCAAAAATCATTTGGACATATTTATATAGTGGATCTAGTTCAGTCTTCTTTATTCTATTCCACTGAGTTATCTGTGTCTGTCCTCCACCAATAACCCCAATGTTCTGGATACTTTAGCTAAATAATGAGCTTTAACATTGCATACAATGATTCCTCCTACTTTATTCCTTTTTAAAAACTGTTATAGCTATTCTAGAATCTTTATCTTTTCATACAAACTTTAGAATAAGCTTGTCTATATCTGCAAATAAATCTTGAGATTTGTAAAACTGATTTTGGTTGCGGTAAAATATATTTAAGATAAATTTTAACCATTTTTAAGTGTATGATTCAGTACACTTAAGCAGAGATGCTGCAAAGATTAGATAAAAGAATGTGGAAAACTTTGTGTCAACACATTTGAAAAATATATAAAATAAAAAATTATCCTAAGTGACTCAAAACAGAAAGAGAAAATCCCAAATATCCTATAATTATAAAGAAGTTGAATCTGGAGTTAAAAAAAGAATCTCCACATATAAAACACCAGAATCAAATGATTTTATAGGAGACCTATCAAGTACTGACAGTCAAAGTTCATGTTAATTCTAATCTTATATAATCTTTTCCAGAAATAAGAAAAATTCCTCAATTTATAATGATTATATAAAGGTTAGTTTAACCTTGATATAAAAACTGTAATGAGGACAGGAAGGGGAAATTATCAGACATTCTCACTCAAATAGATATAATGTTCTAACCAAAATATCAGCAAACTAAATCCAGCAATGCTTAAAGTAAGAAAATGATACATCATGCTCAAGTCAGGTTTATCCCAGGGATGCAAATGACTTCCTCAGTCCTGATTTGCACAACATGATGGCAACATGATGTGGTGCCATTCAATGAGAAAGGAAGCACAAGGTTTGAGGCTAAGGTCATAAGAACAGCCATGTGCTCAGTGCAGAGAGCTTATGAATGTCCAGGTAGAGATATCTAGACAGCAACCAAGGGTACTTACTGGTCTGGAGCTCAAGTACAAGCTGAGCTGGAGACAGAACACTGAGAATCACCAGTAGAGAAGTAGTACCTACAAATGGGATGGAATTATCTAGAGAAACTGGGAGGAAAACAGAAGAGAACCAACCTGAATCCCAGACAACCCAATGTTGAAGGAAGAAGATTCCTTAAAAAGACGGGTCAGAGAATCAGGGAAGGAACGAACCAGAAGGCAAGAAAGACAGTGACTCAAGTCACTCTATGAAGGAGAGGGTACTGGGAATTCACTAAGACATGGCAGTGTCAGGATGTGGTGAGGGGAGCAGGCAGACTGTTTTGGGCTGATGGGTGAATGAATAAGAGAAAATAGAAACAGGGAATGTGGTCAGTACTTACAAGAAGGCTGGCTGAGGAGGGAAGCAGACTGTGTGCAAGAGCAAAGGGACAAGCAGATTAGAGAACAAACTTGTAGACCATTTTGTCAGGAAAAGGAAGAGAGGGTGGTAAAAAAAAATAAAAAATAAATAAAATACAACAGAGCCCATCCTCCACATTCTAGAAAGGAAAAGATTCAAGCCACAGCCCTAAGGCATGAATACAAAACCACCAGAACTAGAATGCAAACCCACCCTAACCGATCTGTGACAAAGCTTGCTTCAGTTAGCTTCTGAAAGTTGGCAAACATCCACAGCCCTTGTCCAGAGGCCATGCTTCCATGGCTAAAGATGAACCAGTCCCTGAAAGTCCACCCATGCCTAAATTCCACATTTACCCAAAATGAAGGGAGTAAAAGTGAAAAGTATTAAGGTAAGGCCTCAAGGACACAGGAACAAATGATTTAAAAAGCACAAATTGGACCATGGGTCTTGGATAAGTTAAGAGTCCACTGGTCCCCCGGGAACAGAGAAAACAAGCAAATGAACAACAGCAGTGGCTGCAGCAGGTGATATGAATCCTTTGACTTCCCCTTTCATATCTTGCACATAAAAAACCTGAGATGCGAAGAGGGTGCCTGAATTGTACAGGAGTGAGCCAGGACTCAAACCATGTCTGTTTACTGTAAGGCCTAGACTCCTTAATGTGACCTAGTACTGCCTCCCATTACATACCATCCCATCCTCCTTTCAACTCTAATAGCAGTTTTGGGATCTTTCCATGTGGCACTTTCCACACTCGGACTTTCACTGGTTCTGTGTGTGTTTGTTTCCCTTATACCCACCTTATTCATGTGATAATTGAAGCTGTTTATGTAGCTCTATAAACTTTTACATGGCAAGTGCTCAATGAAGAAGTTACAGTTATAATTATCAAATTCGTTACATGCCAACTTACCTTCAAAACTGCTGATAACTTTCCTTGATAAGTGGTTTATACCACCGCCATTACAATTTCCTATAGTATTATTCACACGCTCAGCACTCCTTTGCCACAGATATTACAGAGGCAAAGCAATACTGTACATCTCATGCACCGCAAGTTCCAAATTAGTGAATTTAGTTTGCACTTAAGAGAGTTCACCATGTCTGCAGATAAGACCGAAAAGCACATCTTACCTGAATTTTGATGGGCCAGGTGAAATTACTAACATAAACAAAGAAAGTGATATTTGGGTGGTTACGAAAATCAAACTTCTCATTAGAGAAGCTATCTTTGTACTCCTTAATGTTGGTTTTCGAAACAACAGGCATCTCTTCTCCAGCTTGCGTTCCAGCTATTAAGAAGAAAAAAAATAAACAGAAGAGCCTTTTTTGGGGGGCAGAATCTACCCTCATTAATAATAAGGATAATAGTTAGCATTCATTGAACACTACTATGTCCGAGGAATAGCCTTTAAGAGCTCAACAGCATTTAATGCTAACAATAACTCTATTATCCTCATTTACAGACTAGGAAAGTAAGGTTTAGAGAAACTAAGCAGCTTGGTTCAGATAACACAGCTAGCAAGAAGTGGAGCTGGGATTTGAAGCTGGGACGGCTGATACACAAGCCCTTAACTAAAAGGTTTTACCAGGAATCCCTGCAACTCCCCTCCACTGAAATGGGCTGCACGTGGCTGTGAAAATACAGATACCACTAGAATCCTATTGACAAGCAATGGCATCCAGTCTGCTCGCTACACTTTGATTGCTCTGCATTTCCCTTTTACACTTGTTTGGCAGTGCTCCGTATATTCCCTACTGGGGATACTGAGCCACCCCTCACTTCCTAACTAGCAGTGACCTCGTCTCAATAGCAGCAGGGAGGACAGAGCTCTAAGGGTCACTCGGTCCCTTCTGCTACCAGCTACAACTGTGCTGAAGTCCCTCCCAGTCTGGTATTCATAAAAGAGATGGTTCCCAAGTCTGTGTTAAATCCTGTGGCTGGCATCCAGATTGTCAGGTCTTCACTGGGACAGTCGCTGCAAATCATCACATGCTCAGAAATGCTGCCTTTCTCAAGACAAATGCTCCAATAATTCAGACCTTTTCTTAGAAGTCTCTCTTCATTGCAAGTTTCTGAACCGGTTCTGAATTCTATACAATCTTTTAAGACAAGATAAAGTGACAGGTAAAGGTACTGATTTTATTTTGCCTCAGTCTAACTGGTTGTGTTTTTATCAAAAACCAGTTTTGTATAGTAATAATGATAAACATTTAGTGAGAATTTACCATTTTGCAAGTGCTACACTGCGTACTTTGTTTATTACTTCATTTAATTCTCATGACACCCTGCATGGTTAGATGTTTTTCACATGAGGAAACTCGATCAGAAAGCTTAAGTATTTTGCCTAATAGCAAAGTGCAGCACAGTAAATAAGAGGTAGAATTCAAACTCCGATCAGTGAAGCCAGTGAAGCTATGTTCTTAATCACTAAGTAAGGCCCACCCTTTACTTTTCTGTAGATTTTCTGCGCCAGCACATTTTTAGTGACTGGTAGTAAGACACACAAGATAGCAAAAGCTGTGCTCTAAAGTTTCATTTAATTCCCAAAGTACATTTCCCTGTACCTACTGAAATCTCATTCGATGTTAAATAAGTTTCCATTTTTGCACTACGAATCACTCGCATCCTTCACTCCTGAAGCGGACGGGACGGGACGATGACGGCAGCGCTAGAGCAGAGCTGCCGCGGTGCTGCTAGCGGCGGCAGTGGGGCAGGGACGGTGAGCATGCACTAAGCCTGACAGCGCGGGAGGCACCGGCATGCAGAACCTAATTTAACCTGCACAACGATCCTTTCTCCGATGAATAACCCTAAAATCCAGAGAGGAGTTTAGAAATTTGCTCAAGGTCTCTCAGTCAGTAAGTGGCAAAGAGGGGTTTCAAACCCATCTGTCTGTCTCCAGGGACCCTTTCTCAACTCCTACATCTTGTTTCTTAACCTGTTACCTCCATTCAGAAGATCTTCTCTAGGTGTATATTTACCTGAGAAGCTGGGGGCCCAGGTGATATTGAGGTTGAAGTTTTTGGAGGCATTGATGAACATGTCCAAATCCCTGTTTTGCTAAGGAGAGGTACAGGTAATTAGAAAATTAATTAGAACAGTTTCTAGATTTTAAAATAAAGCAATAATTCAATTTTACCACTTTTACCTTTCTTAATTAAAAACATCTTAAGAGAAACTGACATCTGTATTAGATTTAGCAAAATTTGTAACCAATATAAGCAATATACACCAAAATAAATCTGATTTCTCTTCCATAAAAATATATGAAATTTAGTGGTTTACTAAATGCCTAACTCCATGAAAAAAATAACTAAAAAAAAAAATAAACCCTCATCAGAGCACAGTTACTTACATTCTGTGGTCTGTATTAGGAAAATTAGCCTCCTAAGGAACCTCTGTGCAGCTATTTCCAAATGTCTGGACAGAAAAACACTTGATCAAGTGCCCAACTTTACATGTATTTATAAATTCAGCCTATGTGCTTCTGAACTAATAGATTATATACACTGTAAAGTTCTCTAAAACGGAAATGGTTTTTTAAAAAGCATATAAAGTTGAAATAAACTAAATAAAAATTTTTGACTGTATTCATTCATGATTTGAATACTATTTTTCTCTCACCAAAAAGAGTATTTCGGGCAAAAGATTACTAAATATATTTTATTAGCTTTGAAAACCTTGTTTACCACTTAGAGATATAGCAGTCTGAAGAGCTAGTTTAATTTATTTTGATTCTTGATTTTAATGACTAAAAAGATAATCTCAAAATCGTGTTGAGCCAACTGAAGGAGTTCACTGTTGGCCAGCTGGATACATTTTAATACCAATTTTTACTTTTCACTGACATTTGGTAAATAAATCTTTCTTGGGGTCAAAGAATTATTTTTGCAAATAAATCCGATATTGTAGCCCTGACCAGTGTGTCTCGGTTGTGCATCATCCCGCAAAGTGAAAAGTCACCAATTCTATTCCTGGCCAAGGCACATGCCTTGGGTTGCGGGCTCAGTCCCTTGCCAGGGTGCATATGAGGGGCAAACTGATCAATATTTCTCTTTCAGATCAATATTTCTCACATTCTTTTTCTCCCTTCTTTCCCCTCTCTCTAAAAATAAATAAATAAAGTCTTTTAAAAAGTACATCAGAAGTTGTATTTTTACATATTACAAACAGATCCAATCTTGCTGAAATTCTTCATTTTGTAAAATCGTAAAGCACATTAGAAAATTAAGGTTTTTTAAGTGTTGTTTTGCCAGTTTTCACAGGAAAAAACCACAACAATGGAAACATTTTCAAAATATAATCTCCAAACCAGAAATTTCTCTCACAAAACAGATACTTTCTCATTTATTAACATAACCTCACCTTCCTCTTGAAAGAACAGCTTTAGTATTTTTTTTCTTTTTCTTTCTTTTTTTTTAAATTTGCTGGCAGCACACTACCAACAATTACTTCTTCCACAGGAAGGATCAATAAATTTGGAATCCTAGTGTTTTCTTAAAAGATAGAACATACACACTGGATAACTCTATTAAATATTCTGTCATAAGATAAACAGGAAATTCCAGAGAGGTCCAAAGATTTTTATGGTCTCTCCCCACCTCCCTAAGAAGTATTACTAAGAGTCTACTATGTTTATTTAAAATGAAATTAACAATATCAATGGCATCCTGAAAGACTGAGCACTTTTTACCACTTGCTTATGAACAAAGTACATAAATTTCATGTTTGGTACTTTTGCTATAACTTATCCTAAAATCTTTTCTAAAAGTTCCACTTAACACAGCCCCTCAAATAATATGGCTACACAGTTTTTTTGGAAAATATTTTCACTTAAAGTGAAAATAAAAAAATATTTTCATTTCATTCCATTGATGAGAAATAAAAAACTTCTAAGGAGGTTCCTAAATAATTTATCATCAAGTTTAGAAAAGTTTCATTATGTATTAGCGTGGGTAATGAATGACTCTATATTTCATTGGAGAAATTGTGTAGGTGTGCCTTCATGTTCTGGATGCTTCACCTTTAAATGTCATGCTGTGTTGGCTCCCTTCAACACTTGTTAAATACCTTATGGCATGTTGGCATCATTAACTACAGTAAATATAAATCCATGTAACAAATAGCTGTCTTAATAATTTCAATTTTTTTTTCTGTCTGGCTGACTTGTTGGACCCAACTAAACCTTCACTGTTTTTATAACCTAATGAGATGTGCAGCTTACTCAATGAAAAGTGTCACCTCTGTCACCTCCCTTGTATCACACTGGCATTGATTGCAATCCACAGTTTCTTTGTGGGTACTTTTAAACCTCTGGTTTACTTTGAGAGAGTAAATCTGGGCTCTGCTATCCGCCCCTCTGAGGGGGAGTTGCCCTTGTAGTCTCTTCTCCTTTTCTGTATGGGACACAATGGGCTGATGGGCAAACCAACTTTGTGTGGACTCTATGTCAGTCTGTATATCACACACTAGTAAATCTTAACACTGTTCTTGCCCTTTAGGTGGAAAAGAGATAATGCAGATTCTAACATTTCTTTCCTGTACCTCTAAACATCATCCTGTGTGCTCCACTCTGGAGACCACTGCTAGGGCAGTGCTTCTATCCATAATGACCAAAAAAAATTCCACACAAATTCAAAACAAAATGAGAAGACTATTAAATCTTACTTCATCAGGTGTAGCCACAAAATTGATGGCTGTGTAATAGCGGTCATCCTCCTGGGACAGGCTAAAGGTGAACTGATAGTCAATAAGAAGAGTATCTATGGAAAGAAAGACATATGTATTTAAAATTGAAATAAAACAAAACAGGTCTCTAGAAATACATCTTGATTATTTCATAAATATTCAATAGCTAGGAAAGCCCTTTAGTTCACTTATACCTGGGGACTGGGGGTTTTTCAAAGGAAATCAAGTCTGTGGACAGTATCATTTTCTTTGGATTAATCCACCAAATCCTCCTTTATATCATGACCCTGGTTGAGATTTTAAGCTCCAACCTAACTCACCTACAAATATTAACTGAACATCTATTATATGCTGGGTTGTGCTTAAGGATGTAATGCTGTAAGTGGGGAGTTGCTAATTTTATTTTTAACTGTTTGAGAAGCTGCCGTATGGTTTTCCAAAGAGACTATACCATTTCACAGTCCCAAAAAGAATGTATGAGGTTTCTCCATATCACTGTTAAAATTTGGTATTGGCTTTTATATTGTAATAAATAGGCTATAAAAGTACAAGACTACAAAAAAAATTCACTGAGGTGGTTTTATGTTCCACATGGTAAATAACCTTACAAAACTGACAGCTGTCTGGTTTTGGTATGGTATCAAAGGATAATATCCATAATTATCTGAAAAGGTTATTAAAATACTCCCTTTTCCAACTATATGACTGGTGTGGCCAGGTTTTTCTCATGTACTTTAACCAAAGAGATGTATTACAACAGATGTAGAAGCAGATACGAGAATCCATTTGTCTTCTCTTAAGCCACATCATTGGATTTTGATTCTAGTCATTCTAGGGATGTATCTCACTGTGTGGTTTTTGTTTTTATTTTTTTTAAATATTGTATTTATTTATTTTTAGAGAGAGGGGAATGGAGAAAGAAAGAGAGGAAGAGAAACATCAATGTGCAAGACATACATCTATCAGTTTCCTTTCCCACATCCCTAACCGGGTACCTGGCTCGCAACCCAGGCACGTGCCCTGACAGGAATCAAACCAGTGACCTTTCGGTTCACAGGCCAGCACTCAACCCACTGAGCCACACCAGCAGGGCCACTGTGGTTTTAATACATATATCCCAAGTGTCTAATGTACTCATTTTTTCATGTGCTTATTAGCCATTCATATGTATATTCTTTGGTGAAATCTCTATTCAAATCTTTGTTTTTAACTGCAATTGTCTCCGTATTCAGTTGTAAATGTTTCTCATATATTCTGATACAAGCCCTTTATCAAATGTATGCTCTGCAAACATTTTCTCTAGTCTGTGGCTTTTTAAAAATTTTTAATGGTGTTTTTTAAAACACAACTGTCACATTTTGATAACTCTCAATAAACATTTTCTTTTATGAATTGTGCTTTTGGAACTGTATCTAAGAACTCTTCTGCCTACACAAGGTTGTAAAGTTTTTTTCTTTTCTCCTAGAAAAAATTTTTTTTCACATTTACACATTTCAGGTGGACACAAATTTTGAGGGGACACTATTCAACAGAGGAAAGTAGGTATGTAATTATAGTGGATATGTAAAACATTAACTCCTTCCTGTCCGGTTCCACAATCTGGCATACTATGTGGATTCTCCTACTGGGAAAAAATGCGTTTACCCATAAGGGCCTGGTCACTTTGCCAGATTTACCTTTCACTGTAAGTTCATCATTAGAGATTTTATTTTATATATTAGTTCCTAAAGAAGTGGTTAACCCAAATCAGTTACAGTGAGAATAACCTTAATTATATTTTCAGAATTATTTTTTGATCTATATCCTAAAATAAGAAACCAGGTAATAGCAAATGAAATAAGGTTTCAAGAGAACATAAGCAAGGAAACCAGAGATGTATCTCTGTACTCTTCCCTGACATCTGCTATGGACATATTAACATAAACCACAACCACAATTAAAGCAGTTTAAAATTGTGGCCATATATATATATATATATATATATATATATATATATATATATATATTAGACTTAATAGAATGTAAATACATCAAATAAGGAGACACTTCCATGGGTCATTGCTACATTCCTATAGCACTTACCATTTTGAAACAATGTTAAAGACAATAATGAAGTTTTACTGAACTACATTGTTTCTAAACAGATAAGAATTACAAAAACACTTACAATAACATGTTCCTTTGAGAGGGTTTCCCTGGTACCGATTTTCTACCTCACATCTAGAGAGAGAGAAAAATGAAGATTATTTTCTATTGCTATTAAAAAGGGAATCTACATTCATTTTTAAATCAAGTAGACCCTTTAATATAAACTACAGTCTAGTTACATTCTTCGCTGTTATTCAAGTCAGGTGAACTAACAATAATTTGCATTCATTTTCAATGCTGACTGCCCGGCAGTTCACACCACCACTAACGATAAACACTTGCCAAAGCACATGAGATAAATCAAAATATAACAACTCTAGATCCTACTTATAATTATGAAAAACACATTTTCGCTTTTGTGTGAACTAAATCTTCCTCTAAAAGTGCAGTTAAAACATTTTTCCTATATTCATTTTTTACTTCTTTCCTATTCTCCCTGGATAAACTGATCCTGTTCTTTAACTACAGGTGAGAGAAGGCTAAACACAGAGAACTTTTTTTTCTTATTTAAATACTTTGGACATGGTTCAGCAGCCTGGAGGAAAAAAAAGTTCAAGTAAAAAAGTATTATTAATTTCCGCATAGATACTGTCTATAAACATCATCAAAACTGTAACAGGGTGCGCAGAGCATATCCCCATAATCCTTGATTGGGGGAAGGGAAGAGTAGATGGTGCAATGTTTAAGATATATTGCATAACAATGGCAAGTTAATATCTGTGCCTTTCTGAAGGGAACAGGGCTGTGGCAGGGGAATTTTGTACTTGACTGTAGCTGTGAAAATGCTCAGGGACTTGTGACATAGCCAGGAGAGCTCATATAGTGCCTGCTAGAGAGGCAGGGGTGAATGCATCACAGGGAACATTCTCCCTGACTAAAGATGGCAGGCAAAAGAAGGTAAAAGTTACGGGGAACTGACAAAAATGGTGGACGCTAACACATCATAGGAAGGGCTGGAAATGAGGTCATGCAGGAAGTTCTGGCTGAGCATTTAAATAAGGGCAGGTTAAGGGAGGTCCACCAAGAGGTCTGGAGTGTAAGAGAGGAGGTCTGCCAGGAGATCTGAAAGTAGTGTAAGAGCCACAGGGTCTGGAGTAAGACCGAGAGGGCCCGAAAATCAGAAGTCCAGTGAGCCGTGGGAGCTGGTGGTGCGGCGGGTGAGAGGGACCTGCCCAGTCACCCAGATTCAAATCCACTTGGAGAAGATGGTGGCAGAGCAGATGGAGCTGTGGGCGACCTGTCTAGCCACCTGGATTCATGAGAGATGCGTGGAGCTGAACTGTGACTGGGAATGCTGATCAGACTTCTGCTTTTCTGAAAGACAGTACCTCTGACTGGCATACTCTGAAAATGGCCTGGTTTGGCAAAGGGAGGCAGGACTATGTGTTCTTGTGTGTTTTTAAAGGGAGCTGCACTGAACAGAAGAAATTTGCCATTATTCTAAATATGTATAACATTTTATTTCATTTTATTTCATTTTATCTTATTTTTGGAGAAAGTGACAGGGAGGGAGAAAGAGAGGAAGAGACACATGAATATGTGGTTTCCTTTTGCATGCCCTCCACTGGGGACCCAGCCCACAACCCAGGCATGTGCCCTGACTGGAATCAAACCGGCAACCCTTTGGTTTGCAGGCCAGCATTTAGTCCACTGAGCCACACCAGGCAGGGCTAAATATGTATAATCTTTAAATAAACAACCCCTTTCCTTTTTCATCAAACTCTTGCACTGGGAGTCACGCTTCTTGGTGGTGGGCAATCAAACCCCAAAGCTGTTCCAGAACAGCATTAAAAGGATTCTGTAACAAAACCACTTAGGCACAGTTGCTATTAACTTTGAAAAAAGAAGAAGAAAGCTTAGGTCAAGCACTTTTCTCAGATAAATAATACAGGGATAGTGTGTCCTTTTATCCAGGATGATTATCAGCACCTGTTATATCTAAATCTCTTAAAAACAAAGTCTTTCACTGGACCTATACCTCATTTCTTTGCTGTATAACAAAACTGAGGAAGGACAGGAATCATTAATTTTGCTTTATTACATTTTTCTGTTTAAAGGAATTTAGGTTCAAAATTAAATTTAATCTTTGATTAGACTTTCTTTCATTTAGTGGCTTTAGGGCAGCATGACACCAGTAAATGTATGTATACACAGGTACAAACTAGAAAACATAGAGTATTTCCCTCCAGAACACCACTATCAAGGCCTCAGTCACTGGTGACACTACTAGTGTTCGATAAGCCAAACAAAGTTTACCGATGACACATCTGCTTGTATTGGCTCATTATTTTGATACTACTAAACACTTCTAAGTTTCTTCTTGAGAGTATGAGTAAACCTGGAGCATGTGTTTTATGAGATTTTCTGATGAGGCAGACAGGAATATATTAAATGGAGAACAACCTCTCTTCTTTCAACATCCCAGGACACTAAAAATAATCATGGATAGTCCCATGACTGACAGATGTGGAAACTGAGGTTCAGCACAGTTGGTGATTTACTCAAGAGGACTCTGCTCAGTGGGGGCACAGTTGGGGCTGAAGCCCGACCTCTGCCTGCATCCTCATGGGTGGGGACCCCAGACTCTTTCCTGGAAAATGTCTCATATACTTTGTCAAGGAAAATGCTAGACCAGGGAGGGATGAGTTAAAGGCCAGAGGGGATCATCTCTACCATTAGACAATCAAAATGCCAAATAAAATACCAGCTCTTCCAACTTCATCTTTTGGAAAAGAGTGAAATCTTGTGACATGACAAAAACTGAGTAGTGGCTGAAGTTAAACGACTAATCCAAGTCAGCAACCCAGGAAACGTCAGTGTCACTCAAACATAAAGATGTAAATTAAAGAGTCACTAAGCAATTGCTCCTAAACTGACAATCTACTCAGTACGGAAGCTGACCAAGCTAGATCTGTCTGAAGTCGAAAGGGTAAAATTCCAAATCAACCATTTCAGGGCACCCTTAGAGCCCATGGCAACAAGGCACAGACTCAGCTGACCTGGCCGTCCATCACTAAACCCAGGCATGGCCTGTGGCAGGGGTCACGGGAGGGTCGTACTCACAGCTGGCACTCGTCCCCCTTGACGCCCTTGGTGGTGCAGAAGCACTTGCCCGAGTTGGTGTTGCACAGTGACGCGTGCCCGTTGCACCTACATGCTGGAAGGAGGAAAAGGAATGTTGGTCACACCTGGCTTAGAAGATTACTACTATCTGAGACTTTTTCTAAAATAAAAAAATTTCTCTTTGAAATGGATCTGATATGAGAAATAGATTAAAATAAAAGCATTTCATGGGTAAGATTTGTTTTTCAGCTAAGGATTTATCTCAAATTATGTAAAGGCAACATTAAAGGAACTAAAGTCAAAAGATGGGAGACAAGAATGTCATTTCCATTAGTGCCTTCTGAAGCAAACACAACTTTTATCTTTTCAATAGACACCCTGGTTTTCACCATTACAATTCATTCATTCAGTAAACACTTATGAAGGGTCCCCAGTGTGTCACTCCCTGCCTCCAAGATGTTCTGAGCCCTGACTGCCGGCGGGGGGGTTGGTCCGGCTGTGCTCGGCCTCAGCTGAGGCGCCTTCTGCACAACGGTCACGTGTCAAGATCACGCCAGGGCTCAGAGCTGGGGTGGGATTCCCACGGCAGGTCAGGGTTTCAGAGGCCGTTCAGAACTCACCACCCTGCCTTGCCCTCTTATTAGCCTCCATTAAAACAACACCTCTCAGATCCCTCCTCTAGCCATCACCGCCTCTCTACCTTTTCTTTTTCATCTGACCCGTAAGTACGAGACAAGATACATTTTTTGCTCTAGTTGAAATAACTGAGTCTTTTTACTTTACACCCTGTTTTTCTGCAAGTAAATTAAAGGCATTAGGCTGGAGTTAAGTGTACTTTTAAAATAAATCTTGTAGAGAAAAGAAAATGATCTAAAGAAACCTGTGACACAGAATTAGTAAAGCAGTTAACAGATTGGATGAACATTCAGAAACATGAGTGATCAACTCTTGACCCAGTTCAGTATGGAGAAGGGGGTACAGTGTATAAACAAAAAGCAAAGGCCTGCAGTCAGTCTGCCCGAGTTTGAATTCAGTCCCCTCCACTTGGCTCCTCTGTAACTCTGGCATGCTATGTAACTCCTCTAATCTGTTTCCACCTCTACATGATGGGCATAATAACAGTACCTATGTCATGGGTTGTTGTGAGGATTAAGTGAGATAATACATAAATGAAGCAGAGTAAGGATTCAAAAACTCATGGCTATCATGCTTAGCTTAAGGACTATACACTTCTAAGAGGAAAACAAAACACTTGGTGTCACTCGCACTATTTTAAAATCATGCTTTCTATTATAAACCAAGGCTCTAAAAAATAAAGTTAGCCCTAAGTTTTAGAAAATGGTACTCAGGCCCCACAAATGCTATAGAGCAGGGTGTAACTTTTCTAAATGGCAGGTGCAGATATGGGGATGATAACAACAAGGCACAGACCCAGCGGACCTTGGCACTTGCAGGCACAACTAGGCCCAGGAGTTCAAGTCAGACATCCTGGAGAGGGTTCCCGGCATAGCCACATCTCACAGTGAGCAGCTGGGCAGGTTCCTTGATCATGAAGATAATAAAAGCCCCTATATCCCAAGTGGCTTCCCGCACAGTGCCTTGTACACAATTATCAACAAGGTTCGGTACTCTGATTACTGTCCAATAGATGATGTCTACTCACAGGAGTGGGAAAATATATTTACTGAATATCTTTTAATCTGAGCAAGGAATTTCATCTAAGAGTCATAGAAAATGACATGAGAAGAAGAAGAATAATTGCTTGCATCTACTGAGTGATGATAACATGTTATGTATTCCTCTGACTGCTTTCATTTCAACAACCACCTTAACATCTCCATTTTAAAGATGAGGAAACTGAACCCAGAGAAGTTAAGGGATATACCAGTGGAACACAGCCCTTTCCTGGTCTGGGATCAGACCTTTCCTAAGGTCCATACTAAGGAGTGTAGAGGTAGAAATTTTCTTTTCTTATTTATTTCCCTGCTCAGAACCTGAGGGTCTTTCCACTGGAAACTAGAAGAAACCAAAAATCGGTTGATTGGTATTCTTGGTCATTTATTAAAAACACAGTTTATATTCTAACAATAAAATGTCCTATTGCTAGCAGGAATCTATTTGACAATGTATGGGGAAACATGGGATTACTTAAATATTTAAGATATACCAGGAGTACGGAGTCTGGCTCCTGGTTAAAAACCTAGGTGTGATCCTTTTCCAAACCGCAGGCTTTCCGTGGCAGGCCTTACAGGGAAAGCTGCCCTCCCGGGGCTGGCCTGGGAGAACGTCTCTGAGGAATTGCAGCCAAGGTCTCAGGATCCCCTGGCTGGCCACTTCTTTCACATGTTTGCATCCCTACTTCCTATGCCTTCAATCCCAGGCTGCTTTGTCTGAGGCCTCAGGCAGAGGCCGTCTTCAGGCCTCTGCTGAGCTTCCTTGTGAGGGAGGAGGGGGAAGCCTTGAAGACGCTTTCCCCACTCTCAGTCCTCAGTGCTTTTCCACTCCCAGCCCTCCCCGCTCACCCGCCCTCCCTACTCCAGGGCCCACGAAAGGCATTTGCTGAGCATTCTGTCTTGGATCCCTCAACAGGAAGAAGACCAGCCCCAACTCTGTGCTCATCCACCTGACGCTCAACCAGTGCGCCACTCCAGCAGGGAACATGCAACAAGGGGAGTCACTGCTTTTCCACTTTAAGCCTCTTTCTTATACCGTCTCAGCAAGTGATTAAAAGCTTAATTCTTTCATTTTTGGTTTGTTGCTTTAACTGGCTACTCTGACACTTGGCAGCCTAGCTGACTTTCTCCCAGGCTCAGCTGAGCTGCTGAGAAGTAGGACTTAAGAAACGCGGTATCCAAAACCAAGTGGCTATTTTCTTCCTAGATATTCAGGTCAAATAGAAACAGTGTTCTGCCTGGGTTGCAGTCAGTAACCCTGATGGATGGATCTGACTTACGCTGACATTTCCCGCCATTGGTGGGATCACCATAGAAGCCAGATATACAGGTCTCACAGTGCTTGCCCGTGGTCAGGTTCTCACACTTCTCACAGATACTCTGATTGATGCATTTGCTGTGGCCATTGCACTGGCAAGCTGAAAGAAAAAGAATTTCCTTTTTATCTCACTGTACAACTGGATAGAGTAAGTGCCACAAGATTTATTTGTAGCTAAGTTTCTTGATACATCTAAATACAAAAATCATCAAAACTGGCTCACTAAAAACTAGTTTGAGAAATAAGACCAAAACGTCAAAAAATAGCTAATGTGTGAAAATTAGAAATATACCACACCAAGAAGAAAAGTCCACAGCCATTAAAACAATAATTTTTGTTGCTATTCATTGTAAAAATAATATATGCTTATGGTAGTTAAATTTGAAAAATATAAGGAGGGAAAATCATATGTAATTCCACCACCCAGAGGTCACAACATAATTGTTGTGTTCGTTGTAATATTCAATTTTGATTTTTAAACTTCTATCACAATTATTTTACATTATTTCGTTCATCATAAACAAAACTTTAAATGGCATAATGATTTCCATGAAACGTAACAGTTATTTAACCATTCACTTACATTCTGATATTAGTTTGCTTTCAGTTTTTCATCTTTAGGAAAATAACCACCTTTATATATAAACACTTCCATAAGTGGAACTACTAAGATCCTTGATGCATACAGGACTTTACAACTACAAAAGCAACAGAAGCCTGGACCTCTCAGGACTGCGCAATACAGCCGTGCAGGCTGTGTGCTGCAGACTCCAGGGGGGCCATTCATACAGCAAACAGCCTGTACCACAGTGGACAGAATCTGATTATGCCGCTCTGTCACCTACTCCGGCTGACATATAGCATTGTGTAAGTTTAAGGTGTCAGCATGTTGATCTGATACACTCATACATTACCAAGTGATTTCCACCACAGCACTGGTTAACACCTGGGTCACATCACATAGTTAGTACTTTTTTTGTGTGTATGAGAACATTTAAGATTTACTCTTTCAGCAGCTTTTGCAGATTTTTCTTGCTTCATCAGCACGAGTTTCTTTACCATCTCAGAAACTTTTCATAGCCTTGTACCTGTTCTGTTTTCCACCTGTTTTCTACCCCATCCCTGTAGGTATTTGAGTTGTTCTATATAGAGAGCAGCTGAAAAACTCAGAAATGACTACATCAGTTATGACTGCACCACAATTACTTCGGATGTGTGGGATACACATGTTGTTCCTGTGAAAATGAGTTAAGTCCCTTAGCTGACCTTCTACATCTGTGGATGCAGAACTATATAGCAAATGGCAGAGTGCACCATACACAAAATATAACACCTAAAGTCATTTACAAAAAAAAAAAAAATCGAACAAATGCCTCTCTTTTCCTCTTCAAAATCTCCCTGAAATTACAGAAGAAATGTAAAAACAGTGATTAAATCAATAGGAGTATGGGGTAAGGAGGAAAAGGGCTCTCAGAAGTATTCAGGAGGCTTCCCGTCAAGACAGTGACATAGGCAGACATGGCTCGCCTCCTCACACAACCACATCAAAATTACAGCTAAAATACAGAATCACCATCACTCTAGAATGTCAGAAATCGAGTTGAATGGAAGTCTGCCAACTATGGAATTGAAGAAATCACATCCATCCAGACTGGTAGGAGGGACATAGACAAAGAGCAGGCTGGCCCCACACCCACATAGATAAAAATTCAGAATGGATTATCGCGGGAGTGAGGAGTCCCAGATCCACACCAGGCTCCCCCCAGACAAGGATTCCAGTGCCAGGAAGGTAACTACCCACAACTTGTGGCTGCAAAAACCAGCAGAGATTGAGTCAGTGGGGGCGATTGCTGGAGCCCTAAGCACTTCCTGCTGGGGAACCCACACATGGACTCACCTACTCAGACTCGCTCCCTCTGAGCTCCAACACCGAGGTGGCAGCCTGTAGGGCACGAGTGGTACACAGAGAGAGACTGAAGTGTCTGACATCAGGGTGAGCAGAGGACATTGTCCCTTTGCTGAGTCCTCCTGCCACAGAGCCAGTAGGCTGGTGCCATATCTGAGACTCCATCAACCTGGCTAACACTGTGTGACCCACCTTGGAGATCCACAGAAGCTCTACCCTACCCTACTTACAGGCCCACCCAAGCTGTTTGGCTCCTAAATCCTATCAAACAAGCAACAGCTGGCTTCAATGAGCCCTGGCGGCAGCCAAGTTAGAGTCATATCCTGGCTTCACCTGGGAATCTCCAAGCCCAGCACAAGTAGCAGCCACCTCAGATTGCTTTACAGCTAAGGCAGGGTGCCTGGGGCAAAACAGAGGTCGAGGCTGATGTTGGTCTGCACCACCCAGGGAACTCCCAGGGCCAGCGTACCCAGTGGACAGCTATAGGCCATACTGGGGCACCGCCACCCTGCCCCTGCACACCTGATCCTTCATAGAGGGCAGAGGTTGGTGGTCAGCAGTCACAGCCAGTCCTTGCAGCTGATTGGCCTAGGTAAATCCCTCCCATTGATCTGCCAACAGCAACCAAGGCTCAACTACAAGGGGAGAGTGTACTTAGCCCACACTAAGGGTGCACCTTGAGTACCCAGCTTTGGTGATAGGGGGGACTATGCCACTGGACCCTAAAGGACACCTACTACATTAGGCCAAACTACCAAGACATGGAGTCAAAACAGCTCTACCTAATACAAAGAAACAAACATGGGAGGCTGCCAAAACAAGGAGACAAAGAAAGATGGCCCAAATCAAAGTACAGATCAAAACTCCAGAAAAAGAGCTGAACAAAATGGAGGTAAGCAATCTATCAAATGCAGAGTTCAAAACACTGGTTATATGGATGCCCAAGGAATTTAGTGAGTACCACAGCAGCATAAAAAAGACCCAGTCAGAAACGCAGTACTAAATGAAATAAAGAACAATTTACAGGGAAACAACAGTAGAATGGATGAAGCCAAGAATCAAATCAATGATTTGGAACATAAGGAACCAAAAAAACAACCATTCAGAACAAGAAGAAAAAAGAATCCAAAAAATGAGGATAGTATAAACAGCCTCTGGAGCTACTTTAAGAGGTCCAACATTCATCTCATAAGGGTGCCATAAGAGAAAGAGCAAGAAATGGGAAATTTATCTGAAAAAATAATGAAAAAAAATTTGCCTAATCTGGTGAAGGAAATAGACATCCAAGTCCAGGAAGCACAGAGTCTCAATTATGATGGATGCAAAGAGGACCACTCCAACACATATCATAATTAAAAGGCCAAAGATTAAAGAAAAAGACTCTTAAAAAAAAAGATTTTATTTATTTTTTTACTGAGTAGAAGGGAGGGAGGAAGAAGGAGAGAAACACCAATGTGTGATTTCCTCTCGCACGTCTCCTACTGGGGACCTAGTCTGCAACTCAGTCAAGTGCCCTGGCTGGGAACTGAACCAGAGACCCTTTGGTTCACAGGCCAGCACTGAATCCATTGAGCCACATCAGCCAGGGCTAAAGAGAGACTCTTAAAAGCAAGAGAAAAATAGTTACTAGACGGTTGCCATCTGGGAGGGAGGAGGGGGAGAACGGGTGAAGAGGTGAGGGGACCAAGAAGTACAAACAGGTACTTACAGAATAGCCATGGGGATGAAAAGTACAGTTTAGGAAACAGAGTAGCCAAAGAACGTATGACGAACAATGGGGGGGACTGCCTGCAGGAGTAGGGGGTGCTGGGTGGAGTGGGGTTAAGGAGGGAAAACCAGGACAACTGTAATAGCATACGCAAAACAAAAGGAGCCCTGGCCAGTGTGGCTCAGTGGATTCAGCACCAGCCTGTGACCTGAAGGGTAATGGTTAGATCCCTGGCCACAGCACATGTGAGGGTTGTGGGCTAGGTCCCAGTCGGGGTGGGGGGCATGGTGGGTGGGGGAGGGGCAAGGTGAAGTGGGGGCGGGACATGTGGGAGGCAACTGATTGGTGTATCTCTCACGCATTGATGTTTCTCTCCCTCTCTTCCCCTCTCTCTAAAAGTAAATAAATAAAATCTTAAAAAAAAGAAAAAGAAAAGCTAAGCTTGTGTTCTTTTTTATTTAAAAAATAAATTTTAAGGGAAAAAACATTAAAAAAATAAAAGTAAGTATTGGGAGATACTTCTGAAGTACTGAGGAATTTCTTGAAATTATAAAGCAGTTATGGTCAATCTGACAGAGAAAGGAGAGTTGAAACACTTGTATCCTAATGTAAGAGAAGAAGGGGACTGACAAAGTGACTACATATGCTTTACGAATTGACATCTGAACAATCCAAGAGAGGCTGGGAGCCAGAGCAGACCTTGGAAGACTGATGGATAGGAGGAAGTACCTCACGGACTGCTGAACACACTGTTGACACATCTGTCCAGGGCTGCAGGAGGAAGAACAGTTCTGTGGGGTGGGTAGGGGAGGAGAAGTCAGGGGTCTGAAATAAAAATCAGGGCAATACCCCAGCTATCTTCAGGTTGCTACAATATCTCAGGGTAGGGAGGCACTTGGCACAACCATGAACATGCCAAATGTATCCAATACCTGGTCTGTTGCTCCCTCCTTCTTCCCCTGAAAGAGAAATGCGGACCACTCAACAATAGGGAAGACCAGAACTGGAGAGCCCTGTGGCTGGCTAGCCAGCCTCTCCCTTAGGACATAATTACACCACATCTTTGCAACAGCTCAGCGTACCCAATAGAGATAATGAACACAAATCAAGCTTGAAAAGTAACCAGTGTAAGAAAATCATCAATGTAAAGGCACCACCTGGGTAAACATGACAAGCAACTAACCCTGAAGAAAGGGCTGATGCAAGAAACTTAAGAGAATGAAAAAATACTAATTTTAGTATTAAAAGAGGCTTGAGAGATTACTGTATTCATAAACTAAGAAGGCAAGCTCTGAAAAAAACCTCATGATATTTATTGACTTTGCACAATGAAAAAGGATAAAGCAAAATTAGACAAACACCAAAAAACCCTTAACAGGTTAAAAAGAAGAGCACATATGGTCAAAAATTTATCTTCAAGAAAATATTATAAGTATATGCCAAAAAAAATTTGATTACTGCCCTGGCCAGGGGTCCCGCTTGGAATATTGTTGTGTACACCAAAAGGCTGTGGGTTCAACCCATGGTCAGGGCACATACTTAGGTTGTAGGTTTGATCCCCAGTAGGGGCGCATTTGGGAAGCAATCAATTGATGTTTCTCTTTCACATCAATGTTTTCCTCCCTCTCTCCCCCTTCCTCTCTAGAATCAATAAACATAGCCTTGGGTGAGAATTAAAAAAAATAACTGATTACTTAGATGAAATAGACAAATTCCTAGAAAAACGCAGATTACCAAAACTGACGCAGGCAGAAATAGAAAATCTGAATAGACCTATAATAAATAAAAAGATTAAATTAACAATCAAAGATCTTCGCACAGAGAGAAGTCTAGCCCAGATGGCTTCACTGATGAATTCTATCAACACTTAAAGAATGTCAATCCTTTATAAACTCTCATTAAGTAGAAAAGGGGGGAATACTTTCCAATTTACTCTATGAAGCCAATAGCAGCCTGATACCAAAGCCAGTCATCACAAGAAAGGAAACTATAGAACAGACCTATATCCCTCATGAATATAGATACAAAATCCCCAACTAGCAAATTAAATCCAGCAACACACTAAAAAGGATTACACAACATGAGTACGTGGCTTTATCCCAGAAATGCAAGTCTGGTTTAGTATCCTTAAGTCGATTAACATAATACATAGTATCAAAACATGAAAGAACAAAAACATGCATTATCATCACAACAGATTTAATAAAAGCATTTGACAAAATTTAGCAGTCATTCATGATAAAAACCATCAAAAGGCTAGAAACAGAAGAAAAATTTCTCATCTGATAGGGCATGTATGAAAAACTTAAAGTCAACATCAAACTTAATGAAGACAGACTGAATTCTTTCCCCTTAAAGTCAGGGAATGACAATGACATGCACTCTCACAACTTTCATTCAACATGACATCGGCATTTCCAGCCAGGCCAGTAAACTTCAAAAGATAGATATTTAAAGAGGGTATACAGATTGGAAAGAAAAAGTAAACTGTCTTTCTTAGCAGACAACATGACCTTGTATGCAGAAAACCCTAAGAAATACACTAACAATCTAACAAATAATAAATGAGGTCAGCAAGGCTGCACGACACAAGATCAACATAAAAAAATCAATTGTATTTCTATACACTACCAATGAACAATCAGCAAATGAAATTAAGATAGTAATTTCATTTTAGGAAAATTAAAATACTTTGTATAGTAAATTTAACAAAATAAGTACAGGATATGTACACTATAAAACATTGCTGAAAGTAAGTAAAGAACTAAAGAAATAGAAAAACATTCCAGATTCATAAATTGGAAGGTTTAATATTGTTAGATGGCAATACACCCCAAGGTGGTCTATTCCCTCAATGCAATCTCTTTTTGTTGATGTTGCCAAAATCGACAAGTTCATCCTGAAATTCAAAAGGGAATGCCAGAAACCAAGAATAGCTATGCAAAAAGATGAATTTGAACCTCTATCTACACCACATATAAAAATTAACTCAAAAGGGGGTTACGACATGGACAACACTGCGATGATTGAGGGGGAGGGAGGTATTTGGAGGGAGACAAATGGTAATGAAAAATATATAATAAAAATAAATTTTAAAAAGTGGATTATAGGCCTAAATATAAGAGATAAATCTATGAAACTTTAAAAAGAAAACAAGTAAATATCTCGATTTCTTAGATACACTACCAGAAGCGCATGGGATAAAAGAAAATACACTGGAGTTACAAAATTAAAAAGTTTTGCATTTCAGAGGACATTATCCAAAAAGAAACACACAGAATGAAAGAAAATATTGCAAATCATATATTTGATAAGGGACTTATATCTAGGATTCATAAAGAACTCTCACAGGTTGATAATAAAAAGTCAAGTGATACAATTTAAAAATGGGCAAAGAACAGACATTTTTTGAACAGCCATTTTTCTAAATATGACATACAAATGGCCAATAAGATGCTTAATTTCATTAGTCATTAGGGAAATGCAAATCAAAATCACAGTGAGATACCATTTATCATACACTAGAACACTTATAATCAAAAAGATGAACATAAGTGTTGATGAGGATGTGAAGAAATATGAGCCTTTTTATGACTCTAGTGGGAATGCAAAATGGTACAGCTACTTCTTTACACCCTTTGCCCACTTTTTCTGTTGGGATATCATTTAGCTCCCCCTGCTCCCGAGAGGGAGGAGATTTACATATTCTGCCATCACTGGACATATATACTGCAGGTATTTTTCCTCAGTCTGCCTCTTGCCTTTTATTTTTCTCTGAACTCGCAGAGAGCCCTGTTGTCAGTGGCACTGCCCGCAAAAGGCTCCTCGGAGTTCTCACCCACTCATCTCCTGGGAGTCATTTTGCACCTGCCTGACCTCTCCCAGCTGTTCTGGAGGCCCATCAGCACTTTCCTGAGTGTCTACTGAAGGTCTGTATCAAAGGTCAATTTCTCAGGGTTAGTTTCTCAAAGCAGCTTCCCCAGCAGGTCCAGGCTTTTAGGCCAACTCATGGTCTATTCCTTCTTTTTTAAAAAAATCCTCATTTAACGGTATGTTTATTGATTTTAGAGAGAGAGGAAGAGTGGGGGGTTGGGAGAGAGGGGAGGGGGAGAAAGAGAGGGAGAGACAGGCAGGCAGACAGACAGAGAGACATCAGTGGGAAAGAGAGAGATCAATCCAGTGCCTCCCATACCTGCCCCAACCAGGGATGGAACTTGCAACCTATGTACGTACTCTGACCGGGGATCAAAACTGCAACCTTTTTGGAGCACAGGATGACATTCCAACCAAAAGATACAATACGGTTTATTTTTTTCTTTCAATACACTCAATTATCTAACACAGGTGGCCACCCAATTACCAGATAAGTTCACAATGAACCATGAAAGAATGTAAAGCAAACCATGCCACCAAATCCTCACATGAGGACAAGTTATCATTCATTTTGAGGACATGTATATAATGGATTGTATCTGCTTGGTTATTTACTTATAAGCGTGAGATTTCACTCTGTATTTGAAATCTCATTAGTGGATAGCCTGTGATGTGCATCACAGTCTGCTTAAAGCTTATTCAATAATAAAAGTGTTTTCTTTTTTTCTTTTCTACATTTGTGGAGAGGAATTTATGGGTTGACTGAAGATCTTATTTTTAATTTTTCTCCTAACAACTGCCAAGATGTATTTTTAAGTAAAAAACAAACTGCAGAATTATATCCTATGCATGATATGTTTTTACTTTTAAAAATACACATTTGTATGTCTAGGGGTATCTATACCAAACTGGTAAAAATTTTTACCTATCTGAAGAACTGGAGATGAGAAGAGGAATTCCAGTTTTTTTTTTAATTTTATGTACATCTGTAACATTTAGTTTTTATTATGAATTTATTTCATTACTTTTGTAATGAATGTTAGCAACACAACTCACTAGAGTATATCTTTTCATTAATAAATATTAAAAATATTTTCCATGTAAAATTATTTTTCCAAAAATGATATTATAAATATTTTTAAAGGAAATCCGTAAAAATTATACAGCTTTCAAGGTTGGTTGGTTGGTTTTTTTAAACCTTACCTGAAGACATGCTTATTGATTTTATAGAGAGGGGAAGGGAGGGAGGGAGAGAGGGAGAGAAACACTGATGTGAGAAAGAAATATCAATTGGTTGCCTTTCATATGTACCCTGACTGAGGAGAAAACCAACAACCTAGGCATGTGCCCTGACCGGGAATTAAACCTGCAACCTTTTGGTTTACAGGATGATGTTCCAACCAACTGAGCCACATAGTCCGGGGCTTTCAAGGTTTTATTTGCAAATAGATAGAGAAATATTTGATTTTGGCTATACAAGACATCTTACCTGGACAATGAATGAAAGACCAGTTGTATCTGCTGTCCTCCAGACACATGCTGGAATTGAGAAGGGGCTGTGGGTAGAAATTTCCTATAGGGGCCTGAGAAGACATCCTCACTGGGCCTTTGTAGGAGCCCTCTATGCATTTCCCTTTGCCAGTATTGCTGGGATCAGTACACCAGCCACAGCCTGGTTGCTCCAAGCAATGGCCACAGGTACAGTAGCCTGAACAATTTCCAGCTGTTAGGAAAAAAAACAAACAAGTTGATTTGAATTTATTGTACTTAGTAATTACCTTTTTATTTAACAGACTATTCAACTTCTGTGAGTCAAAATTCCTATTCTATTGTGACTGTTTAAATGATGTAATAAATTTCAAGAGCCCAATATCTTGCTCTACAATAACAGGGACTCCTCCTTTCTCTCTCAATCCCAGCATTTTGGAGGCAGAAGGGACTTTAAGGTCACCTGCTGGAAAACACTTACTTATATGAGCAATATGATACCGAAGTTGAGCAGTTCTGTACTCTGCGATCTATCTTACATTTATTTACTTGTGTCATTTTGCATAATGCTGTATGAAGGTTCTCATCAGGCAGCCTATGGACAGACCTGAGCCGAAGGTCAAGTCCACTCTTGACCCTGAAATGTTCAGAGGCTGACAGCACAGCCTCACAGCAGGAGTTGTCACCTCTACATAGGGCACTAATTAGTGCCTACAGCTCACTTTTCACTTACGGGGACAGCTGCTCATGGTATACCACTCCATACACTGGCCATAAGGGAAGGAGGCCACGTAGGCATTGGAATCCACACACTGCTTCATGTTGCTGCACCACATGCACTCGGAGCTGCCACTGGTGCACTCTCCACACGCTGTCCTCAAGGCACATGGCACCCGGCACTGCTTGCTGCTGTGGTTCGCTGGGAAGTAAACCCAAGAGAGACACTGAGAGCTCCCACCATGTCAGCTAAGGTCAAAGGCTTTTCAGTGTGGACTCACTAGTTGTCATGAAATCAATTCAGTGGACTACATTAAATAAAGGAGAAAATAGGAAATATCAGAGTCACCATGTATTGTTTAGTCAAGTATATTTATACATTTGGAGAAGATGTTTTTCGTTTTGAAGATCATTAAGGACAGACTTGTGGGAACAAGCTAATCTTCCCAACAAGTAGGATCTTAGCATATTTTGGGAAAGAAGGACCAAAGCATTCATTAAATACACCCGAACACACAGGATCCAAAATGGCTAAAAAGTTCCCCTACAGAAAATGTGGAAATCATATTTTAGGATTACTCCTACAGTGCTATGAATTCTCTTCTACACCTCTGTGTTCCCTAAAATATGGTTCCATCCTAAAATGAGACATGATGTCAATGGAGTCCAGCCTCCCAAAGTGCCCAGAAAATTCCACCTATTGTGAGGCCCTCTGCAGGAGGAGGACGCTTGCCTTGGGCTTGTCTGTGTGCCGCAGGTGCTGCCCCTGTGCCTGCCTTTAAGAAGCCTAAATATAGTCCAGAGGAGAGATGCAAACCCAGGAAGTTGCTCAAAATGTTCTTTCCTTCAGGAGTCAAGCACAGCTGCAGCACATCAGGTTTGCTTCTATTTTGTTATAGAACTGCTCTCATCATTCCTTCCCCACTGACAGTCTTTCTGTCTACTGTCCCTCCTGTCCCCTCACTGTCATTTCTGATCTTTTCTTTGTTTTTATTTGCACTTTTGGTTCTTCCTTCCACAGCATTTCTCTGCCAACAAAGAAATTTACCTTTTAGAGCAAGCCTCAATACTTTTTGTTATCAACCAACCAATCATTCTCATTGTTAATTAGAATATTAGGTTCTTTGAGAAGTGTTAGTTATTTTTGTTTAGGCTTATGGCTCATACTATTCAGAGCCAGAGACTATTTTCTTCTGTTTTTAAAAATCTTGGTTATACTCTGCTTCATATGCTTGAAATCAATACTCTGTTTTTCATGAATATTTCACACATGTCAATACTATGCCTTCTACAGTTTTCCTTTCAATGAACTTCCAAAACGCATAATTCCCCACATACTTACCCTCTTTTTCACAGACACTACCATTGAGTGGGTTGATGCAGGTTGCAGCCTTCAAGCCCCGAGGACTGGGTTCTGACAAGATTCCACAGAATCCAGCATCACTGGGTTCAGATGGCATCCACTGTATTGTACTATTTGTGAATGAGGTCATATCTTCCCAGCACCAGTAGGACACATTGATCTTCCGAAGTCCAACCCATGGGGTCAACGTCAGCTTGGTCTATAGACAAAACAGACACAGCTATGAATATAATCAATGTCTTGACCTAAACAGGTGTCTAGATAACAACCATATAGTTACTTAAATGGTTTTAAGTTACTTATCCTCAAAGATACAGGAAAACCTCTCTATCCACTGACTCAGCTATTGCACATTAGGATAGACCATCATTTCTGTGTTACACATCATGCTTGGCATGCTTAGCACTTCAATTATGGCCATTTTGCAAAGGACAAAAACACAGCTCAGAAAATATATTAAACATTTTATGGAGATTAATAGCAAAACAATAATCAAGGTGCAAAATTTCCACATCCTAAGACAAATGCTACGAAAAGATGGCCACTCCTAAGCTTGGTTTAAATATCTATTTCTACATGAAGTCATCTTGCCAATATTTCTGAAATACTGGTTATATATCTGCCCTCAGAATCATTAACTAAGCCCGTTTTGGGGCACTGACCAGTTCAGATGATTAGATTCCCATCTTCAGCTGGGGGGTATTGCCTGGCACTGAATTTTGTGGGGAATAATGTGACAGTAAACCCTAGGGAGAGTCCCTGACTCCTGCTCTACTGAAATTTCCTTCCAATTGCATTAAAAAATTCTTTTAAAATAAAGGTACAAAGTTTAGCCCAAAAATGAAAGGTATTTCTAATTCTGGCAATTATAAAACAAAATGATTGATGTATTTCCATTTTTGAGAGGAAAAAATATATGCATACCTATTAAAAGACCTAAAAAAATAAACACATCCAAAGTAGTTACTTTTAGTTGTAATGAGTAATATTTATTTTAATGTTACTATTTTACAAATTTCCTTTGAAATATATGTTATTTTTAAGGAAATAAAATAATTAAAATCAATGCTTTTTAAAAGCCCTTCAATAACTTCCCTTTGCTTTCATGATAAAACTCAACGCAATTAGCTTTGTAGACAAGGTCTCTCAGGCTTTGGCCTTGATTCCTCATGAGACCCAACTACAGCAATTCCTTCCACCCAGCCTGCAGCTCACCCCTCAATCTCTGCATCTTGCATGTGCAGGTAGCAAAGCACAAAAAGCCCTTCCCTATTCACCTTCCCAATTCACTCCTTCTAATCTTCAGGAGTTACCTCTTTCTGGCTGTCAACCTGCCTCTGTCCTAAAGGCTAGGTTGGGTACTCTTGCTTGTTTTTTCATACAAGCCTGGGCTCTCAGTCTCAACTTATCCCTGACTTACAGCTTAAAGTAAGACTGTGAATTCCTGTTGTGTAAAGGTTGTCCCAGCTAAATTTGACTACCTAAACTTTCTAGAGCTAGAAAATCTGAGGAAGAGTGAAGAGGGACCAGAAGAGAGAACATTTGTGGCCTGCTGGGATAGCTAAACCCTTCCAGCCAGGTATTCTCTGAGAAACATGGAATTGGGAATCACTGGTAATGAGTAAAACCATAAGCCATCATTTTTCTGAGGTAGCCACTACAGGTAAGATAAGCTGATAGCCAAGGAAAGAACAACTGTAGAGACCCATATTTGGGGGTCAGTTGAGAAAAACAAACAACATGAACAGTCTCCAATGGGAATATAAATTTGAAAAAGCTTTTAATGAGGAAGTATAGTAAGAATCTAGGAAAATTTCTTGGCAAGTGGAATAGGGAAACTGAGACAGACAGCTGATCAAACTGGCTGAGCAATTTACATCCATATACAAAACATCACCTCCCTAGAGATTATATCTAGGCCTCAGTTGTATTTCAGCTCCAGGCTCAGAGAAGCAGCAAAACTAGGCCAGCAATGCCAGATCCAGCTGCAATGACTAACAACTCCCTGCCCTGGCACTGACCAACTAGCAGGGACTGTGACCCTAAACTGGTACACCTGGAAAAATGATGCATATTCTGCTGAAACCTTTCCCCGAGGCCTCCTCTAAAATGCCTGCTTGCAAGAGAGCTAAAAGCCCTCAAGACAGCCCTGCACAGTGGCTCAGTTGGTTGGGTATCATCCTGTAAAGCAAAAGGTCACCAGTTCAATCCCTGTCAGGGCCCATGCCTGGGTTGCAGGTATGGTCCCCATGGATGTTTCTCTTCCACTCCTTCTCCCTTCTTTCCCCCCATCTCTAAAAACAAATAAATAAAAAAAATCTTAAAAAAATAAAAAACCCCAAGACGAAGGGCCCAGGGTGCTCTCCCTCTGGGAAGCACGCTTACATCGTTCCCTTCCTCCTTTTCTTCCCCCACAGGCACTCATCCCCTAAACTCTAAGGGACCCCAAGAGACTTGCAACCAAGGGAGCAAGGAGCAGCGGCCGCTCACCCTCAGCTGACCCCCTGAACCTGTCTCCAAGGCCCCCATTTCTCTGACCTCCCCGTGAGCGAAAGCGGCCTGGGCTCTCCTGTTGCTTCTTCTATGCTAAGGTATTCCTTATTTCACTGTCCCCAGCTTCGATAACATACACTCATAATCACCTGGACTCACACTGTAACATGCATGTGTAGGTTCTTTCCTTCATGAAATCAAGAACCCACACACTACCGGCTGGCCCTAGGCAGACCCCCTCAGGACCAGGTCCCCTGTCTAGTAACATCAAGATACAAAATACCAACATTTATAATGTATTACCAATATCTGAGTATCTGCACCATACCAAAGTTGCACTGGAAAAAAAAAAAAAGACTAATTGGAGAAAAATAAAATATAGGGCGCCTCCTACCAGTTGCAGAACTGCCCTCCAGGGGGTATACCGGGGCCACATGTAGCCAGGACCCAGGCCATACTCCAAGTCCTCACCTGAAGAAGGCTGCACCCAAGGAAGTGCTACCTATTGCTTTTCCCCTGCTCGATGAGAAGAACATTCCCCCCAACCTGCTCTGTACCAAAGCCAGCACTGTAAAGAGTTTTGTCTTATGAGTATCTACTTAACTGAGGATAGGACCACAGTCTAGGGCTTTAGACTCAAAAAGACCAAATGTGATTGTGGAATGTCAACTACAAGCCACATCAGAGCACTGAGCAGATGGGAAGAGAACTTGGTCCTTTCTGTGCTTAGAAACTCTTGATAAGGTACCCTCTCCTTTTGGGCTGGCCAGGCCTAAGAAAGATGCAAACAAATGTACATTCCTTAGGGTGATGAACATTAAATCATATTACACCCTATAATAATACCTGATATCTGAGAGACTGAGGTGCCTTAATTCAACCTAGCTAAGTGGTAGGGACATTCCCCTCCCTTCACAGCAGAACCCAGGGATACAACAGATACAAAATCATCTACTGCTGTCACAAGGATATGTGCATAGGTACACATGTCACTATTCAATACACACATTATTATTGAAATATAATTTAATAGACATGACTAATAAAGTGTTAAAAAGTTTAAGAAAAGAAAGGAGGTATTAAAGGAAGAGACCGACAGTGCAGTTCCACAGTCTGTACACAGCACTCCTCCTGCCAAGCACATTACATGCCCGCAGTGGACAGTGGATACTAGACACTCAAGTTCTGAGGATTTTAACTCACCGCGCTCTGCGACGACTGCATTATTCGCAGCTGCTTAATGACAAAGTCTACCTTCTTCTGGTTTGTAAGAGAGGCCAAAAAGGCATTGTGGTTCCTACAGGACAATTTAGCGTTGTCATAATTCTCCTTGGCAGTAGTAATTTTCATACATGTGTTTACAACCAAATGCCAGCCACTGCCACAGATAGTTTCTTTTGTAAAGGAGGGAGAGAAAGAAAAAGTTTTAGAAATCACACAAAACTACTATATTACCAATTCAAATTACTGAAAACTTAAATGGTTTTTGGGATCTGAATTCCAGGTTTTTGGGATCTGAATGGTTATTAGGATATAGTGAGAGTATCAGACACATTACTAAGGACCAAATACAGAATACAAGAATTTAAAAAATGCTTATTATCACAGTCATATTTCCTGGATCTCAAAAAACATATCCTGAGATCGACCCTCCTGTGTCTTAGAAGAAAACACTTGTTTGGTGCCGTGTTGGATTTTATAAATCTCCTTTTGAAGAACAATTAGAAACAAGACTGAAATTCTAAGAGCAGAAAAATGAATATGCATATTGGAAGGATGGGGTTAAAAACTGCAAAAATGGAAATGAGTTGGTGAAGGAACAATCTACAGTCTTCAAAAGCTACAATGTTTTCACATCAAATGGAAGGTAAAATCAAGTGCACAAATTATCCCAAAAAATGAAGTGGAAAGATCATTTTGAGGAAAAAAAACCCGAAGTGATTCAGCTGTAGCACAGAAAGCAAGCCTGTGATCTGCTACTGTGATTGTCCTGAACCCTCCCAAAGGATAGCACGGAAGCTGCGAATACTTCCTGGAAGACAGTGAGCAAAGCAACTTTCCCAGAACCAAAGTACCCTGGAGACACCACCAGCAATGTACATTAATAGTCGGTGAGATAAATGAAAGTTACCATGGGTTAGGGATCATTTAAGAGCAGATAAAACACTTGCCCCTCAAAGTGTGGTATCAGTGTCACCAATTGTTCAAATGTAGATTCTGGGCCCCACTCTAGATTTGTACCAGAATCTGACTTATATAGCAAGATCCCCAGGTGTTTTGCTGAGCACTGAAGTTTGAGATGCAATGAGATAAAGAGCAAGAAGCCCACTCATGCAAGATGAATCAAGTACTTCCAAAGAACATTCACAAGGGGCCTGGTAGAGCCCAACTGCACATGCCTCACATGTTGCTCAGAGCCATAGGAATCCCCTTTCCTCGGTATCTTGGTTGAGCAAATACATCATAGTTTCCATCATGGCTGGCTGGCCAGTCTCAGACTCCCTAACTCATCATCCTGAACCTCAGAAATGCCATCAATTAAGGTATTTGGGGCTTGAGATCACCCCAAGAGATGCTGTAGACACAGGCATCTCTTTTCTCCTTGTCAGAAGACGCTTGACAGTCTAATCCCAGTGGTCAAAAGGAAGCACTCTTCATTACATGCGCAGCAGACTGGCTGCTGAGACTGCTGCTTCTTACTCCCAGATTTCCACCGCAGAGCGGGGTGAGGATAATGGAGTGGGCTTGATGACAGCCAAGCTGTCATTTGATTCTCCAGAGCAGCAGATGATGCTTTACTCCATTTCAAAGGACAGTGGAGCATACTTAAGAACTCTATTTTTGTTTTAAAAAATAACAACCACAACAGTGCTATGGGAGATGAATGGATGAAATGAGCTTGTCCACTCCTGCTGCGTCCGATCAAGGCTGCACAGTATTGAGGCATGTGTGTAAAGTCTTTGGACCCATACACACACCAAGGTGCCCCTGTAAAGCCTACCGGGCAGGGCGACGCATTCCTGATTCCGGGGCTCCCACTGGCAGCTCGGGTCCAGGGCACAGCTCCTGCAGCTGGTTTTCTTACTACAGTAGTACACGGGGTTGTCCTTGGGGCAGTTCTCATATCTGAAAATGGAGATCTAGAACACAGTGGATATTACAACAGCTTCTCTCATATCCACAGAGAGAGCTCATGGTGAGGACAAACAGGACGCTAAAAATTGAATTAAAGAAGCAAAGTGCAAATACATAAATAAACAAATAAGATACATATGAAGCTGCACTGCAGTGAAAACACTTTAGTGAAAGGTTCTGCTCAAGGACATGCCTTATCCTGGCAAGGAGGCAGTGTACTCTTAAATACCATGCTTCAACCTGCTCACCTGTGAAATGGGAATGTTGAACGTAATGCTTTTCAAATGCCTCCTAAACAGGCTAAAAGTTTTATATTTTATGGATTGCTTTACAGATTGACAAAGAATGTCTTATAAACTTATTGTCATTTTTGACAAAGAATGTCAAAAACTATAAAAGCTGAGTCACCATCTTTGTTGCCTTATAACCTAAATAAACAATTAGAGATGGTGACCATTACAAGTAATTTTGCTGAGCCAAGATATACCACAAGACAAGTAGACTTATTTCCACAATACAGCGTGGCTGCTACACACCTGACTCACTTTTAGTCTCAAGTTTTAACTTGCTTCCAAAACCCTGCACAGGCAGAGCTCACCAAGCCTCACACCAAGGCTCCAGTACGTAGCCACCGCCATGTCTAGGGAATGGGGAGTACTCGAAACACCAGTCCTTCCTCCTAAAGCACCACATGTCAATCCTGTGACAAGGACCTTTGGAATTAGAATGCATAGATCATCCCTTCCCAAAAGAAAACCTGAGCAATAATGAAATCCAAATCTACACTGTAGGTTTTAAAAATGACTCTGGGTCAGTATTCACACCACACACATTATAATCTACACATAATCCCACTCTGGGCTGTTCCATCCTCTGAAAACCTTGAGAAATAGACCCTGACCTGGCCTTCCGTGCAGCTGTGGTTCCTAGGGACACAATAGTCGTTGCACCAGTGGCAGTCATTGGTGTTGGCTGTGCAGCTGTAACAATCGGTGTGCTGGTCACATCTGTCATGGTCAAGTGCTATGAAGAGAAGGAAAACCCATCAACTGCGACAGCTTCTCAGAAAAGTCACAGGGCATTACAACTACTGTTGAGCACAATCTGAGACTGAGGTTAAAAAAAAAGTAACAAGGGTTGGGAAGTAAAATGAGGAGCAAAACTGTCAGGAAAACACATCAGTGAGGTTAGGTTAAAATAAAATAGATTTAGAAATAAGTAGACAATCTGAAAAAGCACCATTTTGTACCCACTCCCCCCTACAAAAGTACACAGAAAGTGAAAAACAAAGACGGGCTAATTTAATTCAACAACAGCGCGATATGATGGAAGTAGCTCTGATTCTTTAAATACTTTTCGTCCCAAGAAATAATCAACTACCAATAGAATGAACACCAGGAGCTAAACAAAGTAAGGAAGGCTGAGACTCAACCATTCCTCCCAGCTATAAACACAAGGCTAATCTGGGCACAGGAAGTAGGCAGCACCACAGAACCCCAGAGGAGGCACTAGGCTGAGCTGCATAAGTCCAAGAGCGTAAGTTTGAGAACTTCTGGGATACCACAGACCTGCTGCATCTCCTACTGACCCTAGATAGGTTAAAGTCAGGAACAAAAGGGAAGCTGCACACCCATATTGCCGCCATGTTGAATTGCTCATGGACATAGCACATGATGAAATCCATGGATAAGAAAAGGTAGGGTCCATTCTCACAAAGACTCGAGCATCCTGCTCCTTAGGTTGTCCTTCCTATCCTGGTCATCATGCCAAGGACTGAGCCCAAACAGAAAGCAGAGTCAACCAGGGAGGTGACACTTGAGATGAGTTGATATAAAACGGGTTCATACTGAACCATCTAAGCTAAGTGAATATTATATCCTAAAAAACTTGCACACTTCTTGAGCTTTAAAAAACTTGGTTAAAAAATAACTATGTCACTGATTTCATCCCTTTAGGAGACAGGAACTAACCCTACCAAGTTCCGGTCATCTCAGTTCTCCAGCACTCACTAGCTCACTAATGGACTTGGAAGGTTGCCTGGCTCTTCTTACTGAGGATTTATGTTCAGCTTAAGAATGAAAGCTGCCTCTATCCACCATAACTCTCATGATACCAACCCTAACAGTTAAGAAATTCAGTCAACATATTTTAAATTGAAGTGAACAAGTATTCTGCATAGACATTTTTCTTTTTTCTTTTAATTTTACTTATTGACTTAGAGAGAGAGAGAGAGAGAGAAACATCAATTTGTTATTCCACTAACTTATGCATTCATTGGTTAATTCTTGCATGTGCCCTGATCGGAGATCACCCCCGCAACCTTGGAATATCAGGATGACGCTCTAACCAACTGAGCTACACAGCCAGAGCACATTTTTCTTACTCTTAGTGGATTTTCTCACATATTACTCTGCATTGTGCTAAATATCAGAGCATAAGGGTAAGAAGCTCAGTAGGCAAGAGTAAGAAAGCTTGGAAAGCGTAAGAGGTACTTCTAGGAGCAGGGATCACTACTCATCTTCAGCAACTATCTGTCTTGCTATCATTGCTGTGCTGAACTAGAGAAGCTAGAAAAGATCAGTACGTTGCAAAGACAGCAACTTTACCTCCATCCATGAGAACAATCAACCCCAACATAGCGTTTTTAGTTGGCTCTCCTCATCTCACCCTTAACATTAGAATTGCATAATTCAAAATGGTAGCTACTAGCTACATGGAGTTTTTAATTTAAATCAGTTAAAGTGGTCCTGGCTCGTGTGGCTCAGTGGATTGAGCTCCGGCCTGTGAACCAAAGGATAGCTGGTTCAATTCCCATTCAGGGCACATGCCTGGGTTGTGGGCCAGGTCCCCAGTAGCGGGCACACAAGAGGCAACCACACATTGATGTTTCTCTCCATCTTTCTCCCTCCCTTCCCCTCTGTCTAAAAATAAAATAAATAAAAATCTAAAAAAAAAAATCAATTAAAGTAAAAAACTCAGTTCTTCAGTCACACCAGTCTCATTTCAAGTGCTTTATAGCCACATGGGGCTAGGAGCTACCACATTGGAGCGGTGCAGATATAGAATATTTCCATCAACATATACACAAAAAATCATTGGACTGCATTTCCTCAAACAAAATGCAGCTAAGGTTCTGGAGCTAATACACAAAGTCTAGGCAATGCCAAGAAGGTTTTGTCTCTATGATTTGCAGACAGCTTGTAGGAGCCACATGGCATGTTCCCACCCATTGTAAAGATGTTTACAAACCAATTTTCCATAAAGCTTTTGCGTAAGTTATTATTGAACATTTTTGGGTGGTAACAAGAACCTAAAAGATATACATATGCTAAGTGACTTCATAATTCAGATAAAATGAGATTTCAAGTTAATTGTATTTTAAGAAGAGGAAAAAAACATACTTCTTTTGGAAAAACATTCTGATTTTAACTTTTCTTCTTGTGCTTCTGTTGCCAACTCCCAGGAGATACACTGAGAGGACCCTGTATCCCACACACACTGGATGCCAGGTCCTGCTGCTTGGCAAGCAGCTTCGCTCTGATGTGCTTCACACCGCTCTGAGGTAAATGCCAGGATGTCACTGAGGAGGAGACTATTGAAACCACCAAATACATACATGGTGCTAAAAGGAAAAAAAAGGGAGAGCAGTTTACTGAAAATTTATATAAACAAAGGCATGATACACTATTTACAATTTTCAAACAAATATTATATATTAAAGTCCTGTGAGAAATTATTTTTCAGGATATCAAAAAACATTCTTCTACCCGTCCCTCCCAAATTCTAACCTTTTTGGGCTTTCTAACCCAGAATAATTCCAATAATTCACATACTCTTTATAGAATTATATTAAAAAGTTCTCATGATAACACAGAGGCTTTTAAACATTATTCCCTGGAATATTTTAGCAGCAGGGTAAGTGAACATCTTTTAAAATTAAACACATATTTCTAAGTCTACATATTCTTAAATATTAAAAATAAATATGTATAATTTTTAAAGCATATATAAAGTCTCCTGAATTAAATCTGTGTAATGGTTCATAAACCAGTAAGAAACAGATAAAAGTGCACATGGAAATTTAGTACAAAGTAAAAGTGGCATCTTAAATTAGAGCAGAAGAGATGGACTTTCCAATAAATGGTATGGATATAAATAAACATGGAAAAAGATAAAATTGAGTACATTTCTCTACACCAGAATAAATTCCAAATGAATCAGAGAACCACTTGAAAAAGAAAATGAAGCCATACATGCGTTAGAAGAAAACATGAATGAGCAACTCTATAACCTGGAAAGGCTGCATCACTGGGCTCTACAGGACACCTACTACACAAGGCACTCTACCAGGTCCAGAAAACCTAGCAGCTCTACCTAATACATAGAAACAAACATAGGGAAGCAGCTAAGATGTGGAGACAAAGAAATAGGTCCCAAATGAAAGAAATCTCCAGAAAAAGAACTAAATAAAGTGGAAGCAAGCAAACTACCAGATAGAGTTCAAAGCAATGGTTATAAGGTTGCTCAAAGAACTTAGTGAGAACATCAACAACTTGTAAAAGGGCATAGGAAACATGCCCTTTTCAAAAATCAATAAAAAATGAAGGCAACACTAACTGAAATGAAGAATAATTTACAAAGAATCAACAGTAGAGTAGATGAAGCTGAGAATCAAATCAGTGTTTTGGAATAGAAAGAAGCATATAATACTCAATCAGAATAGCAAAAAGAAAAAAAATCCCACCCTCCCCCAAATGAAGATAATGTAAGAAACCTCTGGGACAACTTCACGTGTCCCAATGTTCTCATCATGGGGATTATGGAAAGAGAAGAGAGTTAGAAATTGAAACCTATTTGAAAAAATGATATAAAACTTCCCTAACCAGGGGAAGGAAGTAGACATACAAGACCAGGAAACACAGAGAGTCCTAAACAAGATGAATCCAAACAGGCCCGCTCCAAGACATATCATAATTAAAATGAAGAAGGTTAAAGGCAAAGAGAGAATCTTAAAAAAAGCAAGAGAAAAGCAGTTAGTTACCTACAAGGGAGCTCCCGTAAGCCTGTCAGCTGATTTCTCAACAGAAACTTTGCAGGCCAGAAGAACGGCAAGAAATACTCAAAGTGATAAAAAGCAAGGACCTAAGAGAATCAAGAAGGCAGAGGAGTGAGTGGAAGTCACAGTGACCACCTCCCAGGACTAACCTGGAATTACAACTAAATTGTGGAGAAATCACCCGGAACAACTTAACAATAGCAAGAGTGGAGCCCTATAACCTCGGAGACAGAAGAATTGGCTTTAGCGCAATTGAACTGGTAAGGAGTGTGGTAGAGACTTGAGAAGGCAGGTGAGGCGCCCACGGGCAGCAGCACCAGAATGGTATTGAAATGGCCAGTTGGATCCCCCTGAGAAGAGTGGGGTCTAAACCAAAAGTGGAGATCTCTAGCCTACAGCACCAGAGCCCAAAAAGTACACAGAAAACAGCCAGCTACGGAAAGTGGCAGGGTTGCTCTTTGCCAGAGACAGGCAGCTGGAGACACAAAGAGCCGCTTAAAGAGCCAATGCATAACTTTTCATTTGTAGTCACTTACCCTGGTCTCCAGCAAAGGCAGGGGCAGAGTGGGCTAGAGACACCTGAGGAGAGACTGGGGAAGGAGGCTTTGGGGAAAGAACTCACAGAGTGGTTGGCAGGATCTTGGTGCTGACTCATCCCCCATGTGGCAGCAGCCATCTTACTCAGGCAGAGACCACTCACCCTGAGCAGCATCAGCATCAGAGTACCCAATAACCCCCCCGCCCCCAGGAGGGACTCCACCCAGCCCTGAGCTGTCTAAGTCAGCCTGCTGAGGGCAGAGTAACTAGATTAACAGCTGAAGGAAACAGCCATGAACAGTAGATTCCTGGAAGTCTCGAACTCACTGCCTAAGGTCAGACAGGGACATCTGACATCATCAGAGGCAGATCCAGAAAGTAAAAACAGTGGTCTCCTACCATAGAAGTTCACACCACAAAGTCAGGAAATCAAGACAGATGAATTTAGGAAGCGGAAGCAAAAAAGAAGAGTCTCACAAATAATGGGAGACAAAGAAATACCCCCCACTCAAAAGGAAAGGAGGAATCCCCACAAAGAGAACTAAATGAAATAGAGGCAAGTCAACTATCAGATATTATGTTCCAAACAACGGTTCTAAGGAAGCTCAATGAGCTCAGTGAACTCAAGAGAGAATTACAAAAAAACTACAGAGAAACTATGAGGAACTTACTGCAAACCATATCAGCATGAAAAAGGACATAGAAAGTATCAATAAGAGTCAAGGGGAAATGAAGGATACAACTTCTGAATTGAAGAACACAGTAGAAGGAATCAAAAAAAGGCTAGATGAAGCCGAGGACTGAATCAGCGAGCTGGAGGACAAGGTAGAAAAAAGCTCCCAGAAAGAGCAAGAGAATGAACAAAGACTCAAAAAGAATTAAGAGGCTTTGAGGGAAATGCAGGACAACCTGAAATGCCATAACATCTGTATAATAGGGATACCAGAAGGAGAAGAGGATGAGGAAGGGATAGAGAACCTGTTTGAAAAAGTAATGCTGGAAAACTTCCCTAATTGGAGGAGAGAAAAAGTCACACAAGTCCCGAAGCACAGAGGGTCCCATTCAAGAGGAACCCAATGAGGCCCACTCTAAGACATACCATCATTAAAATGGCAAATATCAAAGACAAACAGAGAATCCTAAAGGTGACAAGGGAGAAAGAGGTAGTAACATATGAGGGAGCCCTGATACGGCTAGCAGCTGACTTCTCATCAAAAACACCGTGAACCAGAAGGGAGTGGCAAGAAATATTCCAAGTCATGAAAAGCAAAGGCCTGCAACCAAGACTGTTCTACCCAGCAAGGCTTTCAACTAAAATGGAAGCCAAAATAAGGAGTTTCCCAGACAAAGGAAGGCTAAAAGAATAAACCTCCACCAAACCAGCACTCCAAAATATGCTAAAGGGACTGCTTTAAGATGAAAAAAAGCCTATGAATACCCCATTCCTTTCACGGTCACCAATAGTTGATATTACCAACATTTTTTATACGTATTAATCTGATTGTGACAATGATGTGTTAATTGTTCCTTTATTATTTGTTGAAACTAAACCTGTTTTTGTATATTTCTTGCCTATTTCTATTATTTTAAAAAAGCTTTAAATGACTTTTTGGAATTCTTTATCCATTTATCAATTAAAGGTTTGCAGAATTTTTTTTCCCTAAAAAAAAAAAAAAGAAGCTGTTAACCCTTTTTTAGGTGTGTGGCAAATACTTTCCCATTCTATTACCTGCCCTTTAACTTTTTTTTATTTGTATATTACTATATAGTTTTAAATGTTTAATATAGTAATATTGTCAATATTTTACTTTATAGCTTCTGGGTTTGAATATTTTACTTCATGGTAAGAAAAATCTTATTTTGTATTTTCTCCTAAAACTCCTTAGATTCTACATATTGATTTTTAACTCACCTGAATATTTCTTGTATAATGTGTGAAATAGGGCTCTATATTTGTTTTATTTCAAGTAATAGTGGTCCATGCACCTTATTTGTCAAATAAGCCTTATTTTCCCCATTGATTTGAAATACCAACTTAATCATATGTTAAATTGTTAGATATAGTTTGTCTCTAGAATGCTCATTATATTTCATTGATCTACTTGATTATTTCTGTACTGGTGTCATGTTGTTTTAATTGCTGAGACTTTATAATGGTTTTAATTTTTTTAGTATTTTATAATTAACACTGACATTTAAAAAAATAAATAAAATCAATCTGCATTAAAAAAAAAAAGGCAAAAACCTACAACTAAGGTTACTCTATCCAGCAAAGGTGTCATTCAGGACATATGAGGTCTGTTCAGAAGGTATCCAGCCACATAATAAGAAAAGTAGAGATATTTATTGAAGAAGATACAAGAAACACTGTACACAGGACAATGATGCCTCAGTCCCCTTCAAAGTAGGCACCTTGGGACCTCACACAGTTCTCCCAATCAGCATCAACTGCTCCATCAGATTTTCCCGAATCTCATCAACTGTCTGAAATCTTCCTTTTCAAAAGTGATTTTAGTTTTGGAAAGAGCTAGAAGTTGCAGGGTGCCAGCCAAATCTTGGCTGTAGGGGGACTGAGTCACCTAGGTGATTTGATATTTTGCAAAAAAAATTGCACAATGATGCACAAATAGACATGTTGTCGTGATGAAGCTGCCAATCACCAGTTGCCCATAGCTGCAGCCTTCTGAATTATCTGAATAGTTTCTGTGGTGGAATGTTGAAGCTTAATGCAAAATTTGATGCAGATTCACTGCTCTACTCACTCAGTCATTTTGAGTGTAGCAGCTACACAGTGCACATGCTCACTCAACAGCATCTACTGCCCCCCAACTAGTACAGTGAAGTCATCATTGTTCACGTATGCACATTCCAGTCCACTTTCCTTGGCTGCCAGGTTACATCAATGTGGCACAAACTGTTGTTATTAACAATGGCTGGACTTTTTCTGGACAGACCTCATATAAAGAACTTCCCAGATAAGGAAAAGCTATAGGAGTTTATTACCATCAAAGCAGTATTATATGAAATGTTAAAGGGTCTTTAAGAAGAAAAAAAAAAGATCAAAAATATGAACAATAAAATGGCAATAAATACATATCTATCAACAATGGAATCTAAAAAAAAAAAAAAACACAACAGCAGAACAGAACCAGACTCATAGGTGCAGAGAACATTCTGATGGTTGTCAGATGAGAGGGTCATTGGGGGGATGGGTGAAAAAGATGACGGGATTAAGAAGTACAAATTGATTGTTAAAGGACAGTCACAGGGATGTAAAGTGCAGCATAGAGAATATAGTCAATGATATTCTAATAACTATGTATGATGTCAGATGGGTACAAGATTTATTGGAATGGCCACTTAGTAAGTTATAAAATGTCTAACTACTGAGATATACACCTGAAACTAATATACTATTATGTCGACTGTAACTGAAAAATAAGAAATTACTTAAAAAATAAAAATAAATTGCCCTGGCTGGTGTGGCTCAGTGGATTGAGTGTTGGCTTGTGAAGCAAGGGGTAGCAGTTTCAATTCCCAGTCAGTGCGCATGGCTGGGTTGTAGGCCAGGTCCCCAGTAGTGGGCGCACAAGAGGCAACCACACATTGATGTTTCTCTCCCTTCCTTTCCCTCTGAAAATAAGTAAATAAAATCTTTTAAAAAGTACATGTTAAAGATAATAAATGAGAAAATGAGAAAAAATGAGGCAACGGGGAAATTTCAACACTGATTGAACACTGAGTAATATTAAATTACTATTCATGTTTTAAAGTGTGCTAATTGTATTGTGGTTGCATTTTTTAAAGGTGAAGTAGAAAACAGTAATAACAGCAGAAATAAAAATGAGAAAAATCAGTAACATGATTAGGCCGTTTAACAAATCAAAAATCTTTAAAGCACACTGTAAGAAACATGTCTACCTTTATGTGAAAGAGCCTTCTCCAGGGCAGACTGATGAAGAGCTCTGTTAGTTTGGACCAGGCATTTTCGAGCAATGCAATGGAGACTTCAGATTATCAAAGACTATAAACTTGTTCTATATGAAACTTCACCATCTCCCCATCTGTTCCCCTACCTTATCCCCAATCTGACGTGCCCTCTCTCTTTTCAAATCCCCTTACCACTCAGATCCAAGTACCACAAATAACAGCAAATGACAGAGGGCATAAGACAGTAATTGCACATAATTTCTGTGGTCCGATGCACTCAGACAACATCAAACCTAATATACTCCTGCATGCTAACAGAAAACAAATCAACAAGCATGGCACTAGAACTGATTCAAGTGAACATCAAGTATTTTAAATATAAATCATGAACTTCATACCTACATAATTCTGTGAAAAACTAGTAAGATGAGAAAATCCTGCAAATAGGGAAGTCCAATCCCACTTCTTCATATTTTACTTAAATTTTATTTTAAACACAAGAGAAAAGGAGCAAACACTTTCTTTTTCAGTTACCTGTTGTGTAAGACTGCTGAGTGGCCAAATCTGTTGACATGGTGGAGATCAGGTCTAGGAAGCACTGACCACCGGTCACAAGCTGGGAGCAAGAAAAACATATTTCAGATGAGACTGCCATCAACAGGAACTGGCTTTTTTTTTTTTTTAAAGAAGACTGCAACAGACACAACCTCATAAAATGTGTCTTTGACTTTTTCTTAGTCACACTAACATTTCTGAGGTAAAATGCCGCAGCAGAACAGCAAGGTATGTAGGAAAGGCAGGACCTTATGCCAATTCTTATTAGTGAATGCATCCAACATTCATGATACACACATCATTCACTCTGTTGCCTATCAATTTCACCCACTACAATGTTTTCTTTTTTTTAAGATTTTACTTATTTATTTTTAGAGAGACGGGAAGGGAGGGGAAAAAGAGAGAAAGAAACAACGATGTGTGAGAGATACACCAATTAGTTGCCTCTCGCATGCCCACAACTGGGGAGCTGGCCCACAACCCAGGCATGTGCCCTGACCAGGAATCAAACCGGCAACCTTTCAGATCACAGGCCAGCACTCAATCAACTGAGCCACACCAGCCAGGGCTCCTTCACTACACTGTTTTTTAACTTAAGCATATTTTAAGTTTTTTAAAGATTCTGTAAGTAAAACATATGAGTTCAATATTTTCCCCTCTATACTGACCTGTCCAAAACCAAAAAAGAAAAAGAAAAAAAGAAATCAAACTTTATCTAATTTTTGAAAAGTCCTTTCCTCAATTCCTTAGATCTACTAATTTTCCTTTGTTCTGATCCATGCTATCAACTTCTCTGGCTGGGAAACCACTTACAACTCACATTCACTATGTCCTTCTGAGATACCCGGACATTGACACTCACTAAGCAAAAGTTCTTCCACTCAATCCAGCCCTTCATTCAACCTTGACAACAACAGTTTTCCTTTCCTTCTCCAACAGCCCAGACTCTGTGGTCTTCCTCACATGGAGAATAGAGGCTTCTTGCCCACCCACCTTGCCTCCTTTCTTAAAACCACTGTATGGCAAAGACCCCTTCCTCCTAGCACTCCTGGCTTTCACCACAGCATGTAAATATGCCCAACAAGGTACTCAACTCACCCCTTTCTTCTCCTCACAGATAGATTTTTTAAATTAAAAGTCAATATTCACTGTGTACATCTCCCTTACATTATTTTTAGCCTCCTGCAATGTGGATTACTCCTCCATGTGTACAGGGTAATAAATAACCTCTTTGTTGCTAAGTCTGAAAGGCTCTCCAGGCCTTATTTTAATCCCTCTCTGGCCATGGTTAACATTTCCCTTGCACGACACCAATCTTGTCTCACTTTCCTCCCACTCGTCTGACATGCTTTCACAGTCCGCATTCTCTTTCCAACTTCTTTATCCATCTCTCCTCTGGCTCTTTGCTCATCCCTGATGGCACATGTTCCCTATAGAATTTTACCCCTTCCTGGAGATTCGCACTGATCTCTGCATTGCTCCATCCCACAGCCATTTCCAGCTGAACATGTTCCCCAACTCATTTTATGCCCCTTCTCCCAGACCCTGTCCGTGTCCTTCTACACCCTGGCCCACACTAGCTACCTGGGAATCAAGAGGCTTTAATCTCTCTCAAAATACACCCCAGACAATCCTCAAGTTCCCAGGAGTTCTCAAACCCACCTATCTCTTTATCCTCATTGCCACATCCACAGCTTTGGTTCAAACTCTCCTCAGAACTTCAGCAAGAGCCTCCTAACTCCCATCTTGCCCCTTCCCAACTACTCACCACAATGCCACAAAGAGCTCTTCCTAAAAAACAAGTGCGATTCTGTCACTGCTTATGTAAGATTCTTCAAAAAGCCCAAACTCAAGATCTGACCAGTCAAATAGCTGCTTGCGTCTCTAGTTCCACTTAAAGTCATTCCTCCCCAATTTGTAGCCAAAACTACTCACAGGCCCCAAGTATGCGGCATAGTCTATTTTTGCCTCTGCCTGAGAAGTCTGCCAGACTTTGCCCAGCTGACTTTCCAGTGTTCCTCAGGACCTGGCTCTTTCCCTAACCATAACCTTTACCCCCATATGTTAAGGACTATTCATAGGTGCTCTCATACATTTATCTTAGAGCAAGTAAGACCGTGAATTGCAATTATATTGTATGCTCAATTCTCTGCCTCCCCCACTATGAGGCCAAGGGCTGTAATTTACAGTCTCCAATGTACAAGCTCAGTGGCTAGCACAAAAATGACCATCCAATGATGTAACAAGAGATTGGCTAGTATTTATTTTGCATGAACAAATACTGCCCTCTTCTGGTCAACTATATTACCACATGAAATTTTTAAAAGAAGGTGAAATCAGTTTCTAGGAACCAACTTAATGCAGTATTGGTGGTAAACAAATACAAGACACTTCTGTGTAAGATATTGGAGCACATCTCAGAGAGCCCACTTATCCCAATGCATCCTTAAAAATTAACATTCAACTAATTAAACTTACCAATGTCATAAGCCATGAAATCTGAAGAAAAGCATTTGGCACCATAGCTCATGGATGTGTCGTTGTGTGTGTTTCCTCCAAACACCAGCATGGTCCCACTTACTATCACAGCTGTGTGCAAGTAACGGAAAAATCGGCTGTCCTTAAGAATGGTCCTTTGGAGATTTAAAAACAATAAATATAAGGTTAGTTTTTTACAATACTTATCACCTATTCCCTAATGTAAACATAATCATTTTCTTAATTTCATATCCACATGTGCAAATATTTCCGGATTTTTCCCTATATATAACATTTTTGACATTTATTTTTAATACATATTTTATTGATTATGCTATTATAGTTGTCCATTTTCCCCCCCTTTATTCCCCTCTGCCCTGCACCCACCCCCCCACCAACATTCTAACCCACTCCACTTTGTTCATGTCTGTGGGTTGTACAAATAAGCTCTTTGGCTTCTCCATTTCCTATACTGTTCTTAACCTTTCCCTGTCTATTTTGTACCTACTATTTATGCTTCTTATTCCCTGTATCTTTAACCCCACTTCTACGCTTTCCCCCCTCCCACGCTTTCCCCCCTCCCCCCGATCTCCATTTCTGTGACTCTGTTCCTGTTCTAGTTGTTTGCTTAGATAGCTTTTGCTTTTTTTTTTTTTAGGTTCAGTTGTTGAAAGTTGTGAGTTTGTTGTCATTTTACTGTTCACAGTCTCGATCATCTTTTTCTTAGATTAAGACCCTTTAACATTTGATATAATAAGGGCCTGGTGATGATGAACTCCTCTTACTTAACCTTATCTGGGAAGCACTTTATCTGCCCTTCCATTCTAAATGATAGCTCTGCTGGACACAGTAATCTTGGATGTAGGTCCTTGCCTTTCAAGACTTGGAATACTTCTTACCAGCCCCTTCTTGCCTGCAAGGTTTCTTTTGAGAAATCAGCTGATAGTCTTACGGGAACTCCTTTGTAGGTAACTGTCTCCTTGTCTCTTGCTGCTTTTAAGATTCTCTCCTTATCTTTAATCTTGGGTAACTTAATTATGATGTGCCTTGGTGTCTGCTTCCTTGGGTCCAACTTCTGTGGGACTCTCAGAGGTTCCTGGATCTCCTGGAAGTCTATTTCCTTGGCCAGATTGGGGAAGTTCTCCTTCATTATTTGTTCATATAAGTTTTCAATTTCTTGCTTTTCCTCTTCTCCTTCTGGCACCCTTGTGATTCACATGTTGGGACATTTAAAGTTGTCCCGGAGGTTCCTAAGCCTCTCCTCATTTTTTTGAATTCTTGTTTCTTCATTTTGTTCTGGTAGAATGTTTATCTCCTCCTTCTGCTCCAAATTGTTTATTTGAGTCACAGTTTCCTTCCCTTTACTGTTCGTTTCCTGTATATTTTTCTTTATGCCACATGGCATAGCCTTCAATTTTTCCTCTATATTGCGATCATACCCAACCATTTTTGTGAGCATCCTGATTACCAGTGTTTTGAACTGTGCATCTGATAGGTTAGCTATCTGTTCATCACTTAGTTGTATTTTTAGAGCTTTGATCTGTTCTTTTATTTGGGCCATATTTCTTTGTCTCAGCAGCCTGTTACGTTGGAAGGGGCAGAGCCTTAGGTATTCACCAGGGCAGGGCAGCCCAGGTCTTTGGGTTGTGGCACTATATGTGGGGGAGGGGTCCAAGAGGAACAATGCCACTTGCTCAGCACTTGGCTGGCTTTCAGTCACTTCACCTGCTACCCACAAGCAAATTGGGCTCTTCTGGTGCTGATTCCCTGGTGGGTGCGTTTGTGTAAATTCTAGGACCCTGTGTGTCTCTCCAATGAACTCTCCTGTGAGGCTGGGAGTTTTTCCTGCTGCCACAACCCTCACAGATTTTTACAGCAAGAGTTTCTGAGGTTTTCTTTTCCTGCACTGGAACCCTGGGGGTTGCACGGTCTATCTCGCTTCCCAGGTGTTCCAGTTTTTATCTGCATGAAAAAGTGAGACAGCCCAGTCTACCTGCTGCTGCCTTGCTGTGCATCCTCTCTGAACCTGGTACCCATCTCCACCTCTCCTACTGGTCTGGGTGAATGTTTTTGCATTAACTCCTGGTTTGGACTTCCATAAAATTTGATTTTCTGGCCGTTCTGGTTGTTTTTTGTTTTTAAATTTGTTGTTGTCCTTCTTTTGGTTGTGCAAGGAGGCAAAGTGTATACCTACCTATGCCTCCATCTTGGCCAAAAGTCTCTGCAACTTTTTTAATAATAAATAAACATGTAATAGCATAAAGACCTATGAGAATTTGGACAAAATATATTAAGAGCATTAAAAACCTATGACCTCAAGATGGCAGCGTGGGCAGACATGGATCGCCTCTTTACAACAACATCAAAATTAAACTGAAACACAGAACAACCATCATTCAGAATTGTCAGAAATCGAGTTGAATGGAAATCTGACAACTATGGAATTAAAAACACCACATCCATCCAAACTGGTAGGAGAGGTGCAGACACTGAACAGACTGGTGTCTCACCCACGTGTGGTGGATAAAAATTTGGGAGCGATATCTTGGAAGTGAAGAGTCCTAGTCCCATATCAGGCCTCCCAGCCCAGGGTTTCAATGCCAGGAAGATATGTCCCCACAACTTATGGCTGCAAAAACCAGCAGGACTGAATCTGTGGAAGAAACTGCTTGGATGTCCAAGCAGCTCCTCTTAAAGAACCCACACATGGACTCACCTACTCAGACTCACGCATTCAGACTCATACCTTCTAAGCTCCAGCACCAGGGTAGCAGCTTGAAAGGCACCAGTGGCATACAGGAAAAAGCTGAAGTGTCTGGCATCAAGGTGAACAGAGGCCACTATCCCTTTTCTAAACCCTCCCCCTACAAAGCTGGTAAGCAGGTGCCATATCTGACTCCATCAACCTGGCTAACACTGTTTGACCTGCCTTGGAGATCCTCTGAGACTCTGCTCTACCCAATTTACAGGCACACCCAAGCTGCTTTTCCATGAATGGCTGGTCTTTGCTCATGTTTCACAACTTCCTAAATTCTACCAAACAAAGCAACAGCTGGCCTCAGTGAGCCACAGGCCCAGCACTAGAAATAGCCTAGCCTACATCACAGCTTGACTTTGCCTGGGAATCTCCAAGCCTGGCAAAAGTAGCAGCCTTCTCAGATTGCTTCATAGCTCAGACCTGGTGGCCCCGGACAAAAGAGAGGTGGGGGTTGACCTTGGCCTGCACCACCCAGGAAACCCCAGGGCCAGTGTACCCAATGGACAGCTACAGACCACATGGGAAAACCACCACGCTACCCGTGCACAGCTGATCCTCCACAGAGGGCTGAAGCTGGTGGTTAAGTGGTCACAGCCAGTCCTAGCAGCTGGCTGGCCTGGGTAAATCCCTCCCATTGATCTGCCAACCGCAACCAACACTCAACTACAAGAAGTGTACTCAGCCCACACAGAAGGCACACCTTGAGTACCCAGCTTGAATGATAGGGGAGGCTGTGCCACCAGACCCTACAGGGCACCTATTATTTAGGTCACACTACCAAAACACAGAGTCAAAGCAGTCCTACCTAATACATAGAAACAAACGCAGGGAGGCTGCCAAAACAATGAGACAAAGAAAGATGGCCCAAATAAAAGCACAGATCAAAACTCCGGAAAAAGAACTAAATGAAATGGAGATAAGCAATCTATCAGATGCAGAGTTCAAAACACTGTTTATAAGGATGCTCACTGAACTTAGTGAGGACCTCAACAGCATAAAAAAGATCTAGTCAGAAACAAAACATACACCAGTTGAAATAAAGAACAATTTACAAGGAAAACAGTTGAGTGGATGAAGCTGAGAATCAAATCAATGATATGGAACATAAGGAAGCAAAAAAGAACCATGCATAACATCAAGAAGAAAAGAGAGTCAAAAAAACTGAGGATAGTATAAGCAGCCTCTGGGACTACTTCAAGCATTCCAACATTCACATTATAGGGGTGCGAGAAGGAGAAGAGAAAGAGTAAGAAACTGGAAATCTATTTGAAAAAATAATGAAAGAAAACTTCACTTATTTGGGGAAGGAAATGCACATGCAAGTTCAGGAATCACAGAGAGTCTCAAACAAGATGGATACAAAGAGGTCCACTCCAAGACACATCATAATTAAAAGGCCAAAGTTTAAAGATAAAGAGAGAATCTTAAAAGCAGCAAGAGAAAAGCAGTTAGTTACCTAAAGGGGAGTTCCCATAAGACTGCCATCTGATTTCTCAAAAGAAACTTTGCAGGCCAGAGGGATTGGCAAGAAATATTCAAAGTCATGAAAAGCAGAAATATACAGCCAAGATTGCTCTACCGAGCAAAGATATCATTTAGAATCAAAGGGCAGATAAAGAACTTCCCAGTCAAGGAAAAACTAAAGGAGTTCATCATCACCAAACCATAATTATAGGAAATGTTAAAGGGACTTATTTAAGAAAAAGAAGATCAAAACTATGAACAATAAAATGGCAATAAATACATATCTATCAACAATTAAATCTAAGCAACAAACTAAACAAATGAGAACTGAGACTGAGTCATGGATACAGAGAGCATTTTGATGGCTGCCAGGTGGGCCAGGGGTGTGGGGGAATGGGTGAAGAGGTGAGGGGATTAAGCAGTACAAATAGGTAGTTACAGAATAGGTAGTCATGGGGATGTAAAGTACAGTATAGGAAATGGAGTAGCCAAAGAACCTATATGCATGACCCATGGACATAAACAATGGTTGGGAGGATTGCTGGGTAGACGGTGGCAAAGGGGGAAAAAATCAGGACAACTATAATAGCATAATCAATAAAATAGAATTTTTAAAAAACTATGACCCTATAATTGCAGTTTCTGGGTAGAAGTCATGTGAAATATAGACAGAAGCTTACGTACAATGCTTTATCAGTAAGACAAAAGTCAGAAACAAAAATTTCCAATTGTATATGTTCAGTACACTTACACAACAATGTATTACACAACCACTAAAAATGATGGTTTTAATGAAAGGCAGAACATAAAATGGTATCCACAGCATGGTCTCAAGTATGTAGGGAAATAAGAAAAGCAAGAAGAGAAACTACTGCTTTATAATTATATTATTTCATGACTCAAATTTGCTTTTATATTTATTAAAATTAGCATACTTTATATAAACCAATATATAGTTTAAAGTGAGGAGAGCTCTAACCTTTTAGGTACTAAGACCATTTCTGTTTGATATTTCCATGGAATGATGCAAATAATTGACTCCAATGATGACATCTTAGTCATCAAGGAAAGGAAAAATGGATATATTCTACTTCATTACAAGAGTGCATAAATTGAGAACTATTCCTTAGGAGTCGGAAGAGCTAAAATTTTACAGTGGTACTCAATGCATGAAAATTGAAAACCAGTTCAAAAAATACCAAGCATTTTCTAATCAATTTACTACAAAATTACATAATAATGCAACAAAATAAATACTAGCTACTTTATTACCTCTGCTTATTTCCCAATTTCTTTGTAACAGTGAAGAGAATTATCTGCTAGGCCTGAAGACAAAAATATAGCGTAATATTTTCTGAGCAATTGCCAGAATTCACACCTTACAGTGAAAGCGCAAGAGAAAGCACTTACCACATCTGGGTGTCCACATCGTATCTGTAGAGATCATCTGCAAGCCGGTATTTGTTGGCACTGAAAGCCTTATAGCCTCCATGAACATACAGGGCCCTGGTCCTGTGGTCATAGACACTGCTATGGCCGTAGCCCCCTTGGACAAGGGCACCCTGGGTATTTAATATACTCCATGTGTTAGTAACTGAAAACAAAAAACAGATAAAGGCAAATGTTGCAGGCTCCTCCCCTCTAATACTTGAAATTACCAAATAGGTTAGGATAACACATGAGATTTCAGAAGAATCAATGCATATAACTTAGTTTTATCATTTTATTTTTAAAGGTCACCTAAAACTAAGTCAGGTGGCCAAACTTTAATGTTCTGATGCCCTAACATGCCATGTAGAAAAAATTACATTAAATTGAAAAGATGTAGAGAACACTTAATTCCCCATGATCTTTATTGACCAAAACATAGATGTACTTTATGTGTCTACTTCCTCAAAATATAAATTATAGCTGATACTCCTACTCCATAACAACAGATACAATAAAATTTAACCAAAGGAAAAATTACATAGTAAGGGGAAATCATACTCCCTTAAATCAATCTCTTTCAGAATATTTGTTGTTTTGAATCATTTTTATTTATTTATTTTCAGCATGTAAAGAATTTAGTGCCATCTTTGGCCCCATGCCAAACTGGCAGTAATATATGTACTACATATCAGCATCAACAGTCTGAATTTCACAAGTAACACATCAGTGTTAACTGCATTTCAAGATAAAGTACTGGGTCAAAGTTAGTTTGAATCTTGTTAAAAACTCATAATGATAAGGGTAAAGGTTTTAAATCTGACATTCAAAAAACTCACTGGAAAAAATATACCTACCTAAGTCATATTCCTGTACGTTGCTTATATATCCATAGAGAGGGCAGTGACCAAAGATGACCAGCATGACCACTCGGCCAGTTTTCAACGTGACAATGTGTGCAGAGTGCCCAACCACTGCATACTGCTCCTTTGCTTTAGGATTCAACAATATCCATGATTCATTATGAATATGAAACACTCTCAACTCATTGGTCACATTCCCTGTTGAATCAATTTTTCCTCCATACATGTAAATTTTATCCTGGGGAGAAAATGTGAAAATTCTGAAAACATCAAAAGTGATTAAATCTGAAACAAAAAAGGAGTTCAAAACCTCAATATCATTCTTAGCTTAGAAAGTGTTTTGGTGAAAAGCACTTTTCAGTGAATTACTAGGAAAAAGATGCCACAAAATAAAATATAAAATAAAGTGTATTCCATACATCTAACAATTTGCCACTTTTCTTGAACTTCCTCAGACAAGCTCTTTTGCAATAATAAAATGACTTGGAAAAATAAAGTTGAAAAGTTCCCTCATCCTACCATAAACCACAAAAACAAGGAAATGAAAATGATTATTCAGTTATATTGCAATGTGGTTATGCCTGGCTAACCTTGCTAATGAACACAAATGCTAATCTATATCATATTAATTTTTAACCATTTAGTACCACTATCATAATGTCCCAATACAATTTAAATCCATTAAAATCTCTCCTGTTGTATTTGTTTTAACTTCCGCTTACACATTAGCCTACTATATACTCCCCAAATATAAAGTTTTCTCCCAATTAAAACCAGCACTGAAGTCACTATCATAGAAACAGAAAGCTGTATGGTGCTTATCAGGGGCTGTGGGAGGAAGAAATGAAGATTTAATGTTTAATGGCCATAGAGTTGCAGTTTTGTAAGATGAAAAGAATTACAGAGATGGATGGTGGTTATGGTTGCACAACATTATGAATGTATTTAATACCACTGAATTATATACTTAAAAAATGGTTAAGATGGTAAATTTCATATGATGTGTATTTGACCACAATCAAAATGATTAGGAAAAAAATTCAACAGTTTTTTCAACCACATAATATGATAAAGTCACTATGGAAGAGCTGAGTTTCTAGCTCAGTACAGGGCAGAGACATTTTACCTTGTATAATGCTAAAGAATGGCCATATCTAACAACCACATTGTTCACAGAACGGTTCAGTGCAAGCCATTCCCTAGAAGCAAGGTCATACCTACAAAACAAACAGATCATATTTTCACCCAAATGACAAAACAGAATATCTTGTACTCTTTTATTTGTGACATAATCTAGTTTGGAGATGCTCATTACATCTGCTATGCATATAGGGAAGTACCTAAGCAAACAAACCTAACATCTGGGCCCACTCTGTATATGAGAACTCAGAAAGGGGGGCTGGGCTGCACAGCCCTGGGATAAGAAAGAAATAAATCTACTGGAAGTTTCTCATGCTTCCTGAAAACCTCTTCTACACTCATTCTAAATAACCTAAAGGTTACATTATACTCAAGGGACTTAAACTTTTATTATCATAACTCATTTTTTATTTAATCATGTAAAATTGAAGACAGGTACTCAAAGGGGAATGATGATAAAAGAAAATTCCTAACTCTCCCTTTTTTTAAAATTCTCACCTGAGGAAATGCTTATTGATTTTAGAGTGAGAGGAGCAGGGAGAGAGACAGACAGACATCGATTGTTTTCCTCCCTACATAGCCCTACTGGGGGTCAAACCTGCAACCTATGTATGTGGATTGACCAGGGATTGAACTGGCAACCTTTCTGGTATATGGGAAGACATCCCAACCAACTAAGTAAACTGGCCACATCTCTCCCTTTTCTTTACCGAATTAGTTTTTAAAAATTCATATTTTTAAGAAAACTGTAATATCATTATTGCATTTCAATTATACTATGAATGTTTTAAACACACACACACACAGCCCCACCCCCCAAAAAAGAAAATCATCTATATCCTTGCTTTGCAGCTCAATTACATTCACGATCTTAGAATATTCACTTTTAGTTTGTCTTTGAGGAAAATACCACTCTACTATTTTCACCCTGGCTGGTGTGGGTTAGTTGGGCGTTGTCCAGCAAATAGAAAGGTTGCCGGCCTGATTCCCATTCAGGGCAACGCCTGGGCTGCAGGTTCATTCCCTGGTTGGGGCTTGAGTGGAAGGCAAGCGGTCAATGTTTCTCTCTCACATCAATGTTTCTCTCCCTCTCTCCCTCCCTTCTCCTCTAAAAATAAATTAGTAAATAAATAAAGTTTAAAAAGAAAAAAAATTACTGTTTTTATTAAAATCAGAATACTCATTATGAAGAATGTAACCAATGCAAAATATAAAGAGCTAAAATCTTAAACATGATCTCACATTTCATCACCTAAAAATGAATATCATTAAGTAAACATTATTCCACATTATTCTATGCTTATATACAGAAAGAAGAATACAATGACCCTACATATGTATACAAAGGGGATCACACTATGGACGATAAATAGTGTGAATTTTAACTTTTATATAACATAATTTAAAAAATTAAAGGGAAATCAATACTATTGTTACACTTTAAGGGTTTATTTTATAAGTTTCCCTGAATAACTCGTTTTTTTAATTATACAAACCATTACTATATGTAAACAAGAAGATGTAAGAAAGTTTTATCACAATCTAATAGCAAAAGGGAAACAAATGTCCATCAATAGAAAATGAATTAATAAATTATAGGCTATCTATATAATAGAATAATTATACATAGTGAAAAATAAATATACTTGAGCTTTGCATTGTTTTGTATTATCAACATAACTCTCAAAACAATGTAAAGCTAAAAAAGTGAACTACAGAATACTATTTCTATAAAGGCTAAAAACAGAAACTTTATTAATTATAATATACTCATACATATTTAAAGTGTAAAAATATGTATGTGAACAACTGACAGCACAAAATCAGGAAATTAATTATCTCTGGGATTTTGGGGGGAGGGGTATGCAGGTGCCTAATAACTATTGTTAGCAACGTTCTACTTCCTAACCTGGGTGGTAAATAGATGAGTATTCCTTATTTTTCTCTAAACCATTTTATTTAAGTGTTATATATATAACCTGAAAGAAATTTAACATAATGGTGACTTGGGGAGGGGGGTGGAGGTGGAAAAGAGTATACAGGGGATAAATGGTAATGGAAAAAACACCATAAAATAAATAAATGGTGACATTTATTAAATATGAAGAGTACATAAATTAACACCACCTATGATTTTATGTATTGTTTGAATATTCTATATTTTTTAAATACAAGAAAAATTTGAAGGTTGAATTCACTTTAGTTTTTAAGTCATATACAATTTTATTTTGGACAGAATCCACTCACTCTCTGCTTTGAAAGTTGAAAATTTTAATATTCAAATTTCCTCCCATTTCTTCTCCCAATTTTTGCTATATAATTTTTATTGTCCGGGTCCATACCATTCATATGCCATTCTATAACTACAATTCCATAGTTATTGAGTACTAGGTCTATTTTAGCTGAGTCAATCTCTTTACAGCTCTCTTACCAAAACTTCTCTTTCTTGGGTCTTTAATTCTTAATTGGCTGGATTTCACTGTCAAGTAGCCTTTTCCTGGTTGAGCTCCTATGTACTGTATTTTGCTGTGTATAATGCACACTTTTTTGCCCACATTTTTGAGGGGAAAATAAGGATGCACATTATACATGGGTAGTCCCTGAAACCTCTCGTATCTGTTCTTGTGTTTTGTAATTATTTTATATAAAGTTTCTTGCACCATATGTTCAAAAATAAATGCTAAAATTCCTTCATAATACAAAAAACACTAAATAGAAATAAATAAAAAATTGAATTAAAAAAAATAAAACAAAAGTTTTTCCTGAACATTTGGGCCAAAAATGTGGCTGCGCATTATACAGGGCAAAATACAGTAGTCCTTTCTCTAAATTCTTTCATGTTTAAGAACAGCATCTGCTTGCTAGCTTTACAGTCAAATGGCACTTTGGCTGGGTATAATATTCTTAGACCATCTTTCCTTTCCTTCAGAAATTTGCAGATACTGCTCCCTTGAATGCTGGTATTAAATGTTGCTACAAAGAAGTCTGAGACAAGTATGATTCCCCGCCCCTCCCCCCCCCAACTTTTATGTGGTTTGCTTTTCTGCTTAGAAACCTGGAGAAGTCTCAATCATTCTCATTGTCTCTCCCTGGTTCTCTTCCTCCCTCCTTCGTTCCCTCCCTCCCTCTCTACATCTTTCTCACTTAAAAAACACAGTATTATGCTTTAGGTTAAAAATAACTTAAAACTCTCCAGGAAAATGGTTTTACAAAATTGACTACATATCACTACAACAGTTTTGTGGAGTTCTGACTATGGAAGGTGTTTTCTGAGGACTCCTGTGGCTTCTTAAACATTTACACCTAATATTCAAGCCAGAGGCCTGTTTCTGCAAGCTTGAATGAGGAGAAAGACACAGAAGGAACACATAAACAAGTCTCCAGATGATTCAATCCATAACCCTTTCAGGTGACATAGAAGGTGTCCCGTCTGTATCTTAATGCATTTTGCTCCTTTTTAGTCAAGGACCCGTCAGCCTTAGAGCTTATTAGAGGCACTAAGAGGCTGGCAGGACCCCATAACCCAGCTAAAATAAACTGCCATACATAAAAGTCTCTCATTCTTTTCAAAACACAGAGAAGCAAATTCAAGGCAAGAATATTACTGATGCAATAAAACATAAGAAATTACAGCTACCAAATAAACGCTCCTTCTTCTGGAGCTGAGTCCACGATAATGGAATACTGAACTCGCTCTAAGACCAGGACAAGCAGATAAGCAAAGACAAACTTTAGGCTGAACTCAGGAACAAGTGTCTTTGGTAGAGCTACAGCCATTTCTCTCAAAAACTCCCCCCGGGTGGGTGGTGTAGCGTGAGGGTGACACACAGGAGGGTGACACATGCTCTACCACCCACGGTGGCCCGGTATTCAGTCAGTTTCTGGCCACCCAAAGACGACAGCAAAGGCTCTGCAGAGACCATGCATGACCCTAGCCAGCATGAGGCACAGAATACCTGAAGTTTTTCATCCAATAATTTGTCCTTTATTTTGTAAGTTCAATTATTTGATCAAAACAGTTCTTATCGCTGAAATATAAAATTTTCCTAAACCATCTTATGCTATTTCAATCCTTTTGTTACTAAATTCTTTTCAATGACAGCAATTATCTTTATGTTGGATCTTCTGCTTTTTTTTTTGTTTTGTTTTTCTCTATTTTAACCTTTTTATCTGTACTCATTAGAATCATGTCTGTTAAGCTGTAATTCCATTTTTGTTCCAGTTCTTGCTGTACAAAATGTATTTGTATTTCTTTAGGTGTGTATTCTCCGATTTCATCTCATTCTGTTATTATTTTCTTGTCTTCGACCTTGTTTTTCTGAATTCAAATTCTCATTAAGTTGATCTATAAAACAAAGCAGTTGGAAGGAATCTCCTTCTGCTCTCTGAAGTTACTCTTCCTCTATTCTTGATTCTTGTCAGCTTCTATATACCAGTCTTTCTTCCTCTTTGTTTTTTCCATCAGTATCAGCTACACTTCTTTCACCTTGTTTGTGGTTAGACACTGTTCTCCAGACATTTTATTTGCAAGGTGTGGGATGATTTCCTAATTCTTTTCTAAAACAAGTTTATCACTCTATACTCCCAGCATCAGTGCTAGGGCTGGTATTTTATATCCTATCCACTTTCCTGAAGTCTGAGGAAATGCTGGGGCTCAGGTCTTTTAGAATAAACTACTCAGGCTCTCCTCTCCTTTAAGGTTTTACGTGTCCTACCCCAGTGCTCAAAGCACATTCTAAATTAAATAGAAGCCCTGACTTCTGGGCGGAAAGTCAGCTACTTGATCAATTTCCCAGTTCTTCATCTGATCTTTCCCAGCAACTACTTCTCCTATTCATCAGTTTAAAAGTGTGAAAAAACAATGATACTCACTCAGTTTTCTTCTTTCTAGATTTGAGGCTATTAGTGAGCACTCTCAGAATCTTGCCCAGTGGTTTCTGTGCAGTAGAGAAGGGAGTCTGTCTTGCTGTTTCCTGCTGGTCTGTTTTAAAGTTTATTGGATTAGGTGATACACTTTTCCTTATTTGGTTTCCTTATTTGGCTCCCTCAACTTGCCATTTTTTAAAAACTTTTTAGA